CGGTAGTGGTGCCCACTCTGTGGAATGCCCTCCCACCAGATGTCAAGGAAATAAATACCTGACTTTTAGAAGACATCTGAAGGCAGCCCTGTTTAGGGAAGGTTTTAATGTTTGATCTTTTATTGTGTTTTTAGTGTTCTGTTGGGAGCCACCCAGAGTGGCTGGGGAAACCCAGCCAGATGGTCAGGGTATAAATAATAAATTATTATTATTATTATCATATAGGGAGTTGTTTTAAGTGACTCTTACAGCTTGCTTGCACGTCAGAGGAGAGCTGTAATAGTCATCCAAATAACTTCCTGGGTGAGTATCTTGTGGTGAACTGTCACCGGATCTCCCACCAGGGTGAAGTTTGCTTAGTCAAGAGTTGTCCACTGCTTTTCTGTGGAAGAAGCAGAGAAGTTTGAGCAGATGCAAAACTCAATTGCAGCAGTTGCCTGTGAAAAAAGAACAATAACTCATTGAACTGTCATGTGAAAGGACCCTCAAAGATGCATTTTTGGAAGCGAAGTTTATCTGATTTTAGCTTCACATCACCAAAATTACTCAGTTACTACTTACTATCTTGAACTTGCTGATGAAGCAGTAGCTGTGGCTGATGTCATTTGGCAATACATATTGTTACAGGTTTGTGGGTGCCCTCAAACACTCTGGATTCCTGGACCTTGGGGTTTTATTGGTGCTTTGAGAATTAAGATGAGCCGACAGATGTTGGATTCAGCAATGTAAAGATGCAGGCTAACCTTGTTTTTCCGGACCAGGGAATTTCTGAACAAAGGCTAATGATGGCCAGTCATCAACCTGTGATATTGTATGTGGATAGCTTAGTTGGTTAGAGCATGGTGCTGATAATGCCAAAGGTTCAATCCCCATAAAGGACAGCTGCATATTCCTGCATTGCAGGGGATTGGACTAGAGGATCCTCAGGGTCCCTTCCAACTCTATTACTCTACTATTCAACTCATCAGGGAAGCTATCAGTCTGGCAAAGCCTGTGCAAGACAAGGAGAGGTGGGGCTCCTTTTCCAGCAGTGTGCAGTAGTGGACAGGGAAAGAAAAGGTTTAGGGTTTCAGCTTGGATGACATAGGCTGAAAGAAAATTGTGGTATTTTGCAAAAGGTTTGAAAAGCAGGGGAGAAGGCAGAGCCAGCAGAAGTCTTGGCAGGCTGGCTGGGACAAACCATTTTTCAAAGAGACCCACAGAAGCTGTTTAGCTGCCTTTGAAACCAATGTTGTGCTTCTGTAGAAAGCAAGCCCCTCTTGAGATATAACTGCTGGAGATTCCTCTTTGGTAGACTCAGGTTGTACATGTGTGTAAATAAACCATATATCATAAAGACACCACAGTCTCCACTGTGCCTCATTCCCGAAGGAAACACAAACTAAGCCCCGTTTGGAGATTGGGATGGCATCTCACAATGTATTTGTGGAACTTTTTCAGCAATGACTGCTATGAAAATGAAATACAGTAGCAGGCTATGTATCAATACTGATCTGAGGCCATATCTGACAACCATCAAACCCCACATTGACCTGCTTGTTGGCAGAATGCAAGCTCAGCTGTCCAACTGATACTTGCCTAAAGGTACATTAATGTAAATAAAACTATTTGAAATATTCCTAGCTCATTATATCTAGCACTGCTTGTGTATCTGTATGTTTTTAGAATTGATTTGTATAGATTATGAAGCAATAACCTGTAATCAGATAATTGGTGTTCTTGCATTCCCATTAAAGAAAAATGTGGATAAATTTGTAAGTACTATAAATATTTCAACCAATTTTACATTAACAGCAGTGTTAAGTAAATTTTTGCTTGAATGCCTCAAATAATGATTATAAAATAGGCAAACTTTGCAATTAAATGCATGCAGCTGATTGCCAATGAATACTTATACTCCAAAACTAATGTGACAATAAATCAATGGGTCACCAAAGCAAGTAAATTTGGCCTTGTGGGTCGCCAAACCAAAAAGGCAAGGAACCACAACTTTAGAAAACTTGATCCTAAGCTGCTCAGGATTTTAAAGGGAATGGCCAACTCTCTGAATTGCACCCAGAGCTGGAAATGGGCCAGCAGAGCTGAACAAGACATTATGATGCCTGAGGTCAAGCAGCAAATGGCTCCTTCTCTCAATCTACATATTTATTTATTAAATTTATATACCACCCTTCATCATAGGGCAGTTTACAGTATAAAAACATAAATATTTGTAATATAATAACAAACAAAACAATAGTCATTGTCGTTGTCGTCCCCCTGCAAAGTTTAAAAGGCCACCAAATGAAGGTGTGTAGTCCTTGAGGTCAAGGCTGATCAAGTTTTTCTGCCACCTAAGGCAAAATAAATAAATTCCCCAGGCACCTCTTTCCCTCCCTGGCTGTGAAGATGCAATGATAAATTTAACTTAACAATTTGCTGCCCTTTCGTGACACCCACATTCAGCTGCCTCTGCCTAAAGAAGCTGTTGGGGGCCTAATGGTAGGGCTGGCCCTGTAGACCAGCAGATAGAGAATCACGTCAGAGTCCAGGGGATCCAAAGGTTTTTCTCTTAGACAACTGTGCCATCACTTTTATTAGCAAAGAGTCCATGCCCTGCTTCTTAAGTGTCTCACAAGCACTTTTTGTGTAGAGTACAGGAATTTTTAGAATGCCCTTTGGACATTTGCAACTCTCAGATTATTTCACAGGCCTAAAAAACAAACGCTGCTGCCCATTAAATAACAAAGCAGGGCCTCTTCTCTGGGATTCTTGTAGCTCCATTTTGTGAGGAGGAGACAAGCAGCTGTTCTGACCAAGCAAATCTGTGACTTATTTTGTTACAATTGCATATTTGCTCAGGAATGCATAACATAATAACCTCTGTCTTGTCCCATATATATTCTTTTCTAAACTAAAAAATTCTCAAACATTGTAACCTTTCCTCACAGGGGAAATCCTTCAGCCCCTTGACTCTGGTTACTTTTTTCTACAGCTTTTCCAGATCCTGACTTTTCCATTTACATCAGCAATATAAACATATAGAAATGCATATTAATCATCCGTGTTCATAACCCTGTTCAGGCTACCACAGAAATTTCACTTTACATACAACATGGGGAAAGGGAATACACAGACATAAGAAATCATGAGTTGACTTATCTGTAAACGACCTGTTGTATTGAGACAGGCTTCCCCAGAAACATAAAGCAATCCCATTTCTCTGTCCATCGGTGTGTAACATGCGAAGTCCACAGATCGCACCCTAAGGCCAATGACCAGTCATAGATCTGGGTTGTGGGTGAGACCTGAGAGTGTCTTCTCATATGAATACACCACCAACTGGTGGTGCTTCATGCTCCGGCACTGGCGGCGGCGGGGGGGGGGGCGGGGACGGAGAGCAGGCAGGGGTGGGGCTGATGCTCGTCCTGGGGTGGGGCGTGTCACCCACAGGAGTGTGACGCCCAACATGGGCGGGGGGGGGGGGGCAGCCACGATGGCACCCTACTGTGATTGCGCTTCCAGGGGCGGCACACTCCCCCCACACTCCTCTTCCTCCACCAGTGACACCACCATTTGAAAATAGCTTCTAGGAGCATAGGAAGATGCCTTACACTGAGTTGCAGTGGCATAGTGGGGGGGCAGAGGGGTGGGTGCCTTGGGTGCAAAATTGTTAGGGGTGCAAAATTTCAACACCTGGTTCTGCCTCAAGGCAGCTGTGTGCTTCTGATGCTAGGCTCCATTGCAAACGGCTTCACCCTGTGAACCAGGAAGTAACCTCTCCAGACAAGGGAACAACTCCTCTTATCTCTGTGGCTGCGATGACACAAACACCATTAAGCAGGTGAATGCACTTGTGTACTGTATCAGTTTCCCTCTCACTCACCCACCCCCGGGCACTAGCAACCCATGCTACACCACTGGAGCATTGGGTCCATCTAGCTCAGTCATTTTTTCATTGACCATCAGTGGCAGTTCTGCAGGGTTTCAGGCAGAGGCCTTGCCCAGCCCTACCTACTGGAAATGTTGGGGGTTGAACCTTGGACTTCCTGCGTGCAAACCGGATGCTCTGTCCCTGAGCTACAGCCCTTCCCCATCCGCAAGAACCTTGCACAAGGCCGAGCTGCCCCGTTTGTAAGGCCAGTCCTGAACTCCATGCCTGGGGGTAATAAGCCAACTTCAGATTGCTTTATTTGTGTGGACCAGGGAATTCCCTACACACACACCCTTGGAGCATGGTCACTAGTCACATGCATTTGTGTATCATTTTCCAGCTGGGTGGGGAGAAACCCATTCAGTTATTGGTTGGGAATCTGAACTGAAACACAAGCATTAATACGCATTTGTACAATAGTGTAGCTCTTATCTTTTATTTCAGTTAACAAAATTTATATACCACTTCTTTGTCAGTTAACAATGGTTGATTATAAAAACAATTAAAAACTGGTATCTATAACATTTCAGCGATGGTTAAAACCAACATTAGCTAAAAAGGAGATAAAACGCATGTAATTTCTACATGTCTAGATAGGCGTGCCTGAACTAAAATGTTTTAAGCAGATACAGAAAAGAATAATTCATTCATTCATTCATTCATTCATTGGAAGATCACAGGACAGTTTACAATATAAAAACACAATTCTATATAGAACAATAACGAACAAAAACATGCAGAAGCCTGTCCTCAATGCCAGAGAGCTCCGCCCTGGAGCAAGCGAAGTAAAACCTGAAGACAATTGCCTCTGAGCATGTACAGAGTGCCACTGTAACAACAGCCCGTTCCCAAAATCCGGGGCTAAGAATACGCAGCAGGGCGCGCGTCTTGCAGGCAGCTTTAGAAAGGGAAGGAAAGAAGGGGGCTTTGGGCTGGGAGACACCCCTCCCTCTCTCCTCTGCCGCTCTGGCTACAACCAAACTTGCAGCAGCCTGCCGGATTTGAGGCGGGGGGTGTCACTGTCCCTTTAACTAGCCGCGGCCGCCAGGAAGCAACGCATGCGCAGGGCGAGTTTGGCTTCAGGGGTGGGTGGGATGGAGGGAGAGAGACCCAGCGGCGGCCGCCCCCCGGTGTCGCCCTCGGGCGCTTGAGCGCCGCCACCCCCAGGCTGGTGCTTATCTATTTTTTGCGCGAGCGCTTGGGCCCTCGCGCGCCGGAGGAGCAGCCAAAGCAGTATCTGCCCCGCCGGCTCCTCCTCCTCCTCCTTGTCGTCCACCGGGCAAAGAGAGCCGCTGCCTCAGAGCGGGCGGGCCTTTGTCCCTCCGGCTCAGCCGCACACACGGCTAGCGGGTCTGGCCGAGAGGAAGCGAGCGAGCGCGCGCGCGCCCCTTCCCCGGCTTCTCTCCCGCGCGCGCCCGCCCGCCTCGCCCCGCAGCCGCGCTCTTGGCATTGTGACAGGAGCTGAGCTCACCTGCCTCGCAGCCGGCCGGCCGGCTTTGGGCTGCGCCTCAGAAGGACCACGCGAGGGTGAGGAAGAGGAGGAGGAGGAGGAGAAGAAGCACCACCCCGCCTCCTTCTCCCTCCCTCTCTTGCCTTCTGCAGCCGGCAGAAGAGCGGCTCCTCCGCTCGCCTGCGCCTGACTCCCGTTGCCGCCGCCGCCTTTTGTTTGGCTTCTCTCAGCCGCCGGGCGGGCGGGCGGGCGGCGAGTCTCTCCGTTGGCTCCCTTGGGATGGTTTCGTGGACTTGCTGCTCTACCGGCTGGCGATGCCCTGCTAGGTGAGTGAGGAATTTCAGATTGAATAAGAATTAGGAACATTTTTTTAAAAGTATGCATTTCTCCCACCCCCCAAAACCAACCTCTAAATCCGCATCATTGCTGCGCCCCTGCATGTGAACGGAGGGCGATTTCGTGCAATCACTTCGGGGCTCCTCCGCCCTCCTGGTTGGCGGGCGGGCGGGCGAGTTCGGCCCTGGGCTCCCCTGGGCGCTGCGGGCTCCGGGCGTGAATGAGCCACACCCTCTTTGTCTCGTCTGTCTTCAAGGGCCTCGGCTCGCTAACTGCCATGTCTCCAGCAGCGGCCAGCTCGGGCCCCAGCAAGCGCCAGAGGCCCGGCGGCGCGGCGGCGCCCTAAGCGAGCGGGACGCCGAGCCGGTGGATGCGGCCGCCGGCATGTCGAGCGGCAGAGTGGACGGCGGGAGCGGCGCGGCCGCGCATCGGAGGTCCGAGGCCAGCGAAGGGGTGGCGCAGAGAGACGAGGAGCAGGAAGAAGATGCGGAGGAAGATCTCCGAGACGGAGGAGTCCCTTTCTTCGTCAACCGAGGCGGGCTGCCCGTCAACGAGGCCACCTGGGAGAGGATGTGGAAGCACGTGGCCAAGATCCACCCCGAGGGAGAAAGGGTGGCCCTGAGGATCCGGGGAGCCAGTGACCTGCCCAAGGTGAGGGGGAGCTGTTTTGTGCAGGACGAAGGCAGGTGTGAACTGAATCTCGGAGTTACAGGCCAGGGAATGAATGAAATGGGAAGATGGAGGGGGAATCTGGGATTGAAACCCGTCAATCTCAAGATTCTAGTTCATAGTGAGGAAGGAGGTGAACTGCAGAGTGAGCATGCAAACTGCTGGGTTCTGCCTTTGCATACCTGAGATGGTATCAACAGGTCTTTGATGTTTTTGTGTCGTCTGCATTAGCGACTTCTTGTTTGTTAATGGAGTCAGGATCTTCCATAGCAGCACAAGGGAATGCAGAATTATTGGAACAATCTTTGGGAATGCTGCCTGTTTTGATGAGGAGTGTGCTCAGATTGGCTCCAGAAGTGCCTTTTGTGTGCATGAGTGATTGAGGTAACTCAAGTAGCCTCTGATAGCACTATCCGGCTTTTGAACAACTTTGTTAAAATATTAATGCTGAAAGCATATGAGGTTGGGACCTGTGCTGGGGTAAAGTAACTGAATAACATGCACATCATCATCCAAGGCTGTATAACCATGTGTTGAGAACTGACTCGCAAAAGGGCTACAGAATAGGCATACTGCAACTAGTTTGGGTTAGAAAAGGAACCGTTTTGAGGAAGAGACGGTATTAGGAAAAGTCTTGCCATAATTTTTATACTGGATGGATGAGGCTAGTATACTACTCTTGATGCCTACAGTATGATATGAAAAGGTCTCAAAGTCTCCCTTTGTCCTGCCACCAGGCACGCAACATTACAACAGTTTCATTTATTGAAAGAGGAGTGCAGAAAAGGCACTTCAGGCTCCCTGCTACACCATTTGATTCCACTGGAGACATTGTGGTTTTTAAAGGGCAACATATAGATACTACATTTTGTTAAAGGGCAACGTACAAAATAGAAAAGCTTCAAATCTGTTGACCTGCTGCCGTAAGACGTCAGATAATACGGCTTTTAGTGGGAAAAGTTTATAGCCATTGCAACATTAAGCCGATCAAAGCTTTGGGATTTTGATAAACTGTGGGGATTATTATTATATTTAAATGCTGTGGAGGAAGCCAGCTCCTTTCCAGTTGTGTTCAAGTACAGAGGAGAAAGAGTTATTGGTCGCTGTTTCCACCTGTGTTTTTAAAGGGCACAATTGCTTATTGGAAGCTATTTCTGCCCTTCGTTTTAAAATATTAGTGAAACCTATGTGACTCTCCAAAGATTGAAGTATCAGTATACTGATATATTTTGGGGGGAGTGGGGCTAAAGCATGATCTTTGAGGTAGTCCAGGACACCGAATGGGTTGGGTATTTCTCAGATGAATCTCCATGAAAGTGTGGAGGAGTGGCTACACGAGTTAAGCCCCAAAACATCATAAAACCCTCCCCAACAGGAAGTTCCCAGAGAAGGCGCTCTCAGCTTCCACACAAGAAATGCTTCAGAATGCATTGTAAAACATACGACTACTTATAACCGTTCTAACCAAAAGGTGCTTTCAGAACACCAAGAGAGCAGTATGCTAACTGTATGAAGGCAATAAAGTGTGTACACAGACCAGAAGATGCATCTGCAGAAGGCAAGGCAGCAAATGCACTTTACAGCTATATGTGTGTACTAAGGATTGCTCTTACTTGCTGTGTGCTGAAGGTGTCTCTGAAATGAACCAACGTAGGAAACCAAATTCCAGATCAGAGCAGCCATCTTATTATGTTGTGGCAAAAATGACTAGTAGCCGTCAACATTTATCATAGTCTGAGCTTGGTCAAGGTGCCTGAAGTGATCTAGACACTAAGTGCATAGGGAAGATTCAGGAAAAAGAGTTGCAAAAGAGTTGTAGGTGCCGACTCAAATCAAGTAGTGTAACATTTAATGGAGGCAGACAAAATGTGAATGCCACAAACCTTAACGGTCTCAGCCCTTAGTCCAGTAGGATTGGGCGATTGGGGTTTTTAATAGAATCCTGCAGTCCAAATCCTGAATGGGTTCAGGGTGGACCGGATACCTCTAAGCACATGCTCAGCCCAGGAATTTGTGGCCAGTACCAGAATCTGGCACACAAGTTCTTTCACAAAAACATTCACCCCACCTCAAGCATCCCCCATCCCCCCCCCGCCAGAACAAAATTGGAGGTAGGAGAGCTTTCTGGGTGTTCCTAGTGTTAGACAATTGGCAGTCAGAAGCTCTTGCTGATCTACTGGAAATTGGGACGCTGACGAATTCCAAATAAAGTAGAAACAGGAACAGAAATGGACAAAGTTCACTTATTCACCCCATGTGCAAAGTAGAAATCAATCCAGTGAATACAATCAATATTCACCACTGTGGTTTCTTTTAGTCCACAAACAATATGTATTGTGTTTCCTTTGCACTGAAATGAATGAGAAGCAATAACACAATGACAACATAAGTTGAATAATTTACTGTGTAAATTGTGTAGCAGTTTTTGGCAGAAGGCAAACCGCAGTGGAATGGAAACAGTGCTGCGTTCGACTGATATGGGGCAGGATGGGAAGCAATGCCTTTGTTCATCCCTAACTGCCAGTTGCCTGGAGAGCTACCCATACATCTTCAGCTACATTCTTCACACCCTTGATCTAGGGAGATTCGTCAGTAGCATGTGACGGGATCCTTGTTGTGCACCTACAGCAGGGAGAAAGTTTCCAGGGGTTTGCAATGGTAGCAAGCAGTTAAAGGTGCCAAAACCAGAAGATTTGCCACATGGCTGCATTTTCAAGTAGCTTCCATGGTGAGGACTAAATGCATGAGTGGGACCTTGGCTGCTGTTACTATGTATGGCAGATGGTTAGCATGTTTGCCTCAGACAAAACAGCTGTTAATAGCAAGTGCAAGCAGTATTAAGCAGAGTCCACTCTACTTCTCCATTTCAAGAGTGCTGGCTTTCCATCTGTCCTTGCTCTCCCCAGACTGTTGTCTCCCTTGGCTCACCCAACTCAGCCAGCTGGCATTGCAATGCACCAAATGTCCTCTATGCTGTCTTTCCCTTCCTTATGCTCTTTAGTAAGGTTGTGTAGCTTTCCATAATTTATTTATTATAAAAAATCCAATACACAGTTCTCTGGGTGATGTGTAGAAAGTTTTTGGACAGGTTTTTAAAGAAGAAGAAGAAAATAGATAAAAGACCATCCAAATGCCACCATATCATCCATAATGAGCACAGAGAGCAAAATCTAATAGCAGCCACAGCCACTTGTATCAAGTGGTCTTGATCTCAGAAAGCTAAAAACCATCTCAGAAAGCTAAAAGCAGCCCAGCTGTAAAAGGCCAAAAAAAAAGGTATAAATTGTTCAATGTAATTAATATTAAAATGTTAATTTAAAATGGGAGGGTGTTAAAAAGTTGTGGGAGAACAAAAAGTTGTGGTGTGCAGAAAGGCCAATTAAGTAGGTGCCATGGAGGTGTTCCTCAGTTGGGATGAAGTAGGGTCATGGCTGCATCCATGGAATAACTCTCTGTGCTTGAGCTTGAGGGAACACTCGATTCAGGCCTCCATCGATTATATTAAGGTACAGAGAGGTCCATAAGGGGAGATTTGGGGACAATGATTATAGAAGATCCAGAAGGACTTGTTTATTATGAAAGAAGTGAACAAAAGTGCATCTCAGAGTTAGTACTGGGCTATATTATGTACCACCTAAGACCACATTAAAGGTACATGATACTTTATCATTGTATATTATTGCCAAATGTTTTCCCTACATGCTTTGAGATTTAATGCTAGAACACACTAGACCTAGACCTGCCAAATCTCCACAGTTCCAAAGCATCTCTGTGATATTTTTTCCTGTAGTCTTCATATCTGGATGAGATCCAGTCCCAAGTTCTCAGAGTCAAACATGGGTGGCTGGCAAGTCTAGTAGTTCAATGCCAGGAATTCACACTTAGATTTATGCTTTTGTCTGTATTGCAAAATGCAATGAGAGTATTTTGTGTGGGAGCGGTTGCTGCAAACTAACAATGGTGTTCACTGTCCTGCCTCTGAGGAAATATATATGCTTTGCAAATCTTCTACAATGTAGAGTCTCCAGTAAAGCATTGTCTTTGTTGGGGCCCCTCTAAACCTTGACCACTTTAATGTTGCATTAGGTGCCCAGTTATCTCTGCTGGTATCCTACAGTGAATGCACACTGCCAGTCCACATGGAGACCATCTTATTACATGCAAACTTTTCTGCTTCCTTTCAGATATTCCCCTGAATGTGATAAAACAATTCCTAATCATGTTAAGTGGCTCAGGAATCAAACTTAAGAAGAACAGGCTTTCAATCCTTGAAAAAAATCCAAAATATCTAAGACCAAACAGCCATGCATTTAAAGGGGGGGAGGACATCATGTGGACACCCCTACATTAAAGGGGAGAAAGGCAGGTGCAAATCCACATTTTTCTCTGATGTGGACAAGCACACTGTCTCTTCTTGGCTGTGTTGCTGACTTCACCGAGTAGCCATAAGCATGACACTCTGCTTTTCAAAGCTCTTCAGAAAGGGCTAGCTAGCAGCCACAGATTTATGTTTCCTTTTAGCAGTTGCTTGGATCAATTAAGGCTTTTGCTTGGACATATTTTGAGTGGAAAGCAGCAGGGCAGTGTCCCAACAAAGCATTAACACAGCTTATCAGTTAGCTCTGAGATAAAAGGGACAGATTACTGTCTCTCATTCTGCCCTCCCTCCCTTTCACTAAGTGAAGACGAGGATCCTGGATAAAGAGGAAACCTTAACCTAGTCTGGGCTCCAGGCCCAGGTTTGTTTAGAGTATACTGGATTCCTCATCAGTTTAATTGCTTAAGTGAAGGACTAGTTATAGGTATTAGGAGATTCTTCTGCACTTTTAAGTGGTTTCAGTTACACGGGGAATATTTCATATGCGCTCGAAGTAAAGCAGATGGGGAGAAGCAGCAACAGCAACTTCTGCTTCTTCCAGCCGAGGAGGAAGCAACTAAGAGTACTGTTTTTTAACATAGCTGCAATTTAGATAAGGCACAACTTCTGTATGGATTAGGTTGACTAGCAACTCTTCTAGTATTTGGAAGGTTGTGTGTGGAGGTTTGCTTGTTTTTAGGTTTTTGTGCCTCCACCATTCACTTGTTATCTGTAGCTTAGCTCCTTGGCTTAAGAAGTGTGTTGTTGATTTAAAAAAAGAAAAAAACCTGGAATCTCCCAGGCACTTCTCTCCTGTACAGCTCTTACACCTTAAAAATGCCCAAGTGCCTGCACTGCATTTCTGGAAGCCCATCTAGCATTATGACTTTGCTTGGCAAGTACATTTCAGCTCTCCGTTTTCTCTTTTTCCGGTGCACACCCTTTCTGGAGAAACTAATAACTGCTAAATGTTGCACCCACCTGAAGTCATAGACCTTTAATGGCTCTGCCTAAGGGCTGGTCTCTGTGTGTTTAGCATGCTTAGATTTTAGACCACGGCTCATCATCTTGAATAGTAATGAGCGCTACAGCACTAGGAGTGGCTGTAGGTGCTCTAATTCCTACCCCTCATTTTAATCACTTTCTGCTAAGAGTGACTGCGTGATACTGCTAGCTGGGACTCCTGCACTGTTTTTCTCTAAGAGATGTGAAATGTGTTCCTCATTCACAGGAATACCCTGTCCGTTTCACCTGCATCTACTTGCTGCTACTACTTATCATTGTTATTTCTGGCATAACACTCCTTAAGTCTGTGGTGCACATTTTTTATTTCTGCTGCAACTGCTTTCCAAACCACTTTGTGGTATCCTCCCAGCTCATCCTGCATATCACAGCTCTTTCCTTTTTTGAGAATTTCTTGAAATAATCAGACTTGTCTTTTAGCTTATCTGAAAATGGAATAATTCTCTCTTGCTTTCTTGCTCTGCATTACTAACCTCAGGTGACCGGTAATAAAAATGAGCTATTCCTTGTGGTTCTGTGGAACGATGATTCAATGTGCCTTCGGTGCTGTGTCTGGGTGTGGGCTGTGTCTGTAAGTTGGTGTCTGTTTGGTGATCTCATACTTTGCCTCCACCCTCCCCCTCTTATGCACAGATTCCCATACCAAGTGTGCCTACGCTCCAGCCGTCCACTCTTATCCCTGAGCGCCTGGAAGCTGTACAGCGTTATATCAGGGAGCTTCAGTATCCTTTTAACCTCTGCCACATTGCCAAGGAATGAAAAGGGAAGCCGGGCAAGTTCCCTGCTTTGACCACAAAAGAGAATTTCTGCCTGCTTGGCACTTTAGACCAACTGGGGAAAGAAGCCCAGTCCCCTCCCAAAGAAAACTGCTGTTTGTTACAGCCTGTGGTTTTGCCATCTAAAACTAGCTTCCTTTTGTTTGTTCCCTTGGCATCTTAGCATCCTCTGTGTAAGCAAGATGAAGTTAATCCATTGCAGGCTTCTGGTATGAGAAATGCATTTTACTTGATGCCCATTGTGCAATCCAAAAGGAGGAACTCTGCATTTAATTCTTTGAGGAAGGTCAGGGACAGGAGATAATGTGCTGCTCTCCTCTGCCTAGCTTTGGTAAGGAAGAGGGATTTAACATGTTGCTGAAGGCTCTTGGCTATGCTAAAAGCCAGTTGTGTAGGTGCCCATAACTGCAACTGGCACCAGTGGGAGCTTTTCTGTGGCTGCATGGCCAGAGAGGGGATAGAATTTCATCAGTATTGTGGCCAGAGGGAGAAGGGTTAAACTTCTCCATGCACAACTGCAGCCCTGATGAAAATTGGGAGCTATGGACTTGCTATTAAATCATAAAAGCAACAGCCTTGGCATGGTTTCTAATTATGCAGTTAGCATCACATCTAGTTTGTCCCAGAGCACACAATTTCTCTTTTTGTTGTTTTTGTGCTGTTGATGCTTTGCTAGCTAGGAGTTTTGTGATTGTAGCAACTTTCCTCCCTTCAGTCACCTCTTCCAAGCTGTGTGGCCCTTAATTCCTTGTTCCCAGGTACAATCACACTGGGACACAGTTCTTTGAAATCAAGAAAAGCAGGCCTTTGACTGGGTAAGTACTATCACTCTGAAGTCATCCCTGTTGGATCTTACCTTCTCTGAAGACTCTACTGAGGCTGGCCAAAAAGGCCCAGGCTGAGCTCTTTGTTGGCTGATGTCTCAATGACTTGCCTCCCAGGGGAGGCACAGCACAAAAACCGATCTCTTTAAGTTGGATGCAGCTGCTTGGAGTTTTGACTACTTGCCCAAACTACAGTACAAGAGCACAGTACTCTTCCAGATGCTGAGGTCCTGGAAAGTATGCATAATAGTCTGTAAAAGAGCAAGGTTCTGTCTTTATTTTCTGGATTTATAAGCCTTACACAGTCCATATACTTCCTGCTTCAGTATCCCTGAACTCCATGCAGCATAGTATCTCGAAACCTCTGTCATTATTGATGTCTTGCTTATATAAAGACATTCAACTCATTTAACAAACACTGGCACTGCACATTCCTGATTACGCATGGCTTTTTGCAGACTTCTGTTCCACCTTGCACTTGTTCCTCCTACCTTGGGACATTGAATAACAGAAGAGGAACACCACAGGTTTGATCAAAATAGAAATTAATCCAAATATATGTGCAGGGTGCAGTCTGGCTTGGAAGATGATTTGACACTGAATTATTGAAGGGAAACTGTGTGTCATCAGTGAGGGAGAGGGATGTGGTGAGGAACTGAGTCTGAATCAAGCAAAGGGTTTTTTCCCTCTGTCCTTGTGCGACCAGACCATTCTGTCTTCTCCCAGACCATTCTCTCTACCTATGTTCTGCTTGACACTAGCTCCCCCCCTTAATTCTCTTGCTCCTCCTGTTGTCTTGTTCCATAGGCTGATGGATCTGGCCAAAGAAATGACAAAAGAGGCTCTGCCAATCAAGTGTCTGGAAGCTGTGATCCTGGGAATGTATCCTTTTCTCTCAGGAGAGTGTGTGCATATCAGTTCAAGCACAGTAATTTCAACAGGATGGCTTTAATACTGTAGCATTTGAAGTCCACCATGTCATGTCCTGTCAAACCAGCTAGCAAAATACATCTGGTATTACCAAGCATTCCATTTGGGGGAACAAATTCTTGCCATAATAAAAAAAAATATTCAGGAGGTGACAAAAGACCGACATCAAGGAAGGGCATGGTGAGTTTCCTCAGGCAGGGAGTTCTCTTGTGTCTCAACCAAGAAGAACCAAATGAGCTTTGTACCAAATAGTCTTTTTGGTCCACTGATGCTTCAGGACTACGCCCAAGTACATGACTACATGTGGATATCACTTAGAGGAGAAGGTCCCTCCAAAGCAGACAGGTCTGTTCAGCTTGTCTCTTCAGGTGAGATCAATGGGGTTTGCTATCTAGATCTACCTATCTGCATAGTCCTAAGAGTTGGACATAATCAACCAAGGTGGCTAAGATATTGTTGGAGATGTGGGGAAGGGCCCTTACTATATCCTTCTTTCTGTTGTACCACCTGTTTCCTGAATGCTTCACCATTCACAGTTACCTCACCAACAACATGCCAACCCTGGAGCGTTTCCCCATCAGCTTCAAAACCTACTTCTCAGGGAACTACTTCCGCCATATTGTGCTGGGAGTGAACTTTGGGGGCCGCTACGGTGCCCTGGGCATTAGTCGGCGTGAGGATCTCATGTACAAAGCGCCCACCTTCCGCACGCTGAGCGAACTGATCTTTGACTATGAGGAGGCCTACCGGCGCTGTTGGCACACCCTAAAAAAGGTGAAGCTTGGCCAGTGTGTGTCCCATGACCCACATAGTGTGGAGCAGATTGAGTGGAAGCACTCCATCTTGGATGTGGAGAAGCTGGGCCGTGAGGACTTCCGCAAGGAGCTCGAGAGGCATTCCCGTGACATGAGGCTAAAGGTGAGAGGGTGGGAGATGCTGTTACCTTGCGAGTGGCTTATTAACGCTGAGTTCTGTTTGCTGGGGTCAAGCCTTAAAGCCAAAAGCCCTCGGTTGAGTTTGTCTAGTTCAGGGGTAGCCAACATGGTTCCCTCCAGAGGTTGTTGGACAATTACTATCATGACCATTATAATCATTATTCATTAAATTTGTATACTGCTCTTCATCTGTAGATCTCAGGGGTGGTTCACAGCATAAAAATACAAGGTAAAAACACAAAATGCATAATAAGAAAAAGAACAAACCAAACCAAACCAATAACCTCCTCTCCCCTCCCTACAACAGCTCCAACCATTGGCCATGCTGACGAGGTCTGATGGGATTTGTGGAGGACGCCATGTTTACTGTCCTTGAATCCTCTTACTTGGATTCCTGTTAATGAATTTTATATGGCATGCTTTAGGGCAAAGTCTTTAAAAGTCTCTTGAGTGCTAGGCAGAAGTGGGCTAAGGAATGGAAAGGAGAGGAGAATTGTTTGCTTCTCCATTGATCCAGGTCTCAGATCTGTTTGTTTACCCCATTTTTATATTGTGTTTTTATTAATAAACTGATAGCCGTGGTATCTCGTTTATTCTGTAGATGTACCTAGGATTCCATCAGGCTGCAGCAGACGGAACCAGGGCTACTCTCTCAGCTCTGATGAGAGAGCAGCTTGCTTTGGTTCCTCCTCTCCCTGAACTGTTTTATATTCCAGTTGGTCATTACACAATAACTACCATATTTCTGTAAGAATTGGTGTGTAATTTGCTTTACCGCCCCCCCTTCCTTCCTATCTCCTTTTTGTGTGGTGTCTTTTTAGATTGTAAGCCTCCAAGTTTTACTCATCATACCTAAGTCACTCTGGGAGACTTTCTAATGGAACAGCAAGGAAAAAATGCTTTAAATTAATAAGGTGTTGATGTGAGATGATGCAAGACAGCTCACACTGTAGTAAAATGCATGCAGAACCACCAAGAGTTGGCACAGTAAAATGGCCAAGAATATGAGCTGGGCCATCCCTGATTAAAATCTCACTCCACCATGCTCTGCAGCCAGTCGGAAGCTGCGGAAGTCCCATCGGATGTTCAGCTTCCAAAAATAGTTCACAAACCAGAACAGTCACTTTCTGGGTTTGCGGCATTCGGGAGCCGAAACATTTGAGACCTAAGCTGCTTGAAAACCAAGGTATGAATGTAAAACCAAGGCTCTCCTCATCCTGGTGCGTTCCTCTTTTGGTCTATAGCTCCAGTCAGCCCCAGCCAGCATGACCAATAGTTCTAGATGGTGAGAGTTGTAGTCCAAAACATCTTGAGATTTGCAAGTTGAAGAAGGTTGATTAATGCAACATATTGGTTATGTGCTTTGGATATTTCAGAAGGAGCTATACATAGATGCTCCTTGCTCTTAATGTTCACTGCACTTGTCGGATGTGAATTTACATGGCTGCTGTGGGAAGAACCTAATGGCTTCTACTGCTCACTGTCACTTTCCTCCTCCTAGATCAGCAAAGGAACAGGGCCACCATCGCCCACCAAGGATAGGAAGAAGGATGTGTCATCCCCACAGCGAAGCCAATCCAGTCCACATCGTCGCAACAGCCGGACAGAACGGCGGTGAGAACAAAGGATGTTGATTCTGTGTAGATGACCAATCCTGATGTGGGATTTTTGTCCCCATCTCTCTCCTTATTTATTCTTATTCATTTCACTTACGAATCACTTCCGCTGAGACACTCCACAGCAATTTGCAATGTAATAAAAATGTATTTGAAACAGTTGCCTATATAAAAGCAGTTAAAGCACTTGCATATAGAAAAATGATTTATATGAAACAGCAATAGCATATACATACTATTAATTAAAATCCAATAGCTGTAACAACTTATTGTAGTTTAAGCATGCAAACACATCTGCAGTACACACTTTTTGAAACTTTATAGCTGGTTGTGAGCTGAGGCACATGTCACAAAAATTTACTTGCATCTTTTGGGTGCATACAGCCTCTGATCGCTACTTCAGCAACACCTCACTTTCCATCTGTTTGGATGTTGTGAAGTTGATCATAGCACCCACCAGCAACTTTCTTACATTTATTTCTTTGCCATCTTTAAACTTTTAAGTGCAGCTCCTGAGTGGAGCCCTCAGTCCTACAGAGCAATTCTGCAGATGTTTATTTAGGCATAAGCCCAACTATGTTCAGCGGAGGTGTGGGGATTCTTTGGTCCTCCAGATGTTGCTGAACTACAGTTCCCATCATCCTTGGCTATTGGCCATGCTTGCTGATGCTGATGGGAGTTGTAGTCCAGCAACATCTGCCAGGTCAAAGGATCCCCACTTCTTCCCTAGCAAGGATGTGTTAGGATGGCAGCTTCAGTGTTGCACAGGGTTGGGGCAGACATCTGCACCTGCTTCTAAGTCAAGGAGGTCTTCTCTCCCTGATACGCATAGCAGAAAATAAATCCATGCCATCTGCAACTTCACCCACTCCCCTCTGGCTTGGCCAGATCACCGTGGGGAAGCTTAGCAAGAAGCTGGCACTACTTCCAGCCTTCCCCAAAGCTGCCACCATCTCTCCCGAGGTCCCCCGAGGGTAAAGCGGATGGATAGTTGGGGACTGAAAATGTGGCTGGCCAAGCCAAGACTTGGACCTCTGCCTGAACTTACTCTTTGAACATTCAGCATGTCCAGTTGGCTGAAAATCCCTCCCATCACTGTAGTAGCTGGGTGGGGCATTGAGAGGTGCGTCTTCAACCCTCTCTCTAACAGTTGGAAAAGGTTCTGCACAACGATACTCCATTTCACTTGTGTTCCTCCCTTTCCCCCTTTCTCTGCCCTACCCTTTAGACCATCTGGAGAGAAGAAGCCTACAGAGCCCAAAGCTATGCCAGATCTCAACGGTTACCAAATCAGAGTATAAAGAAGTCTTCTCACCATTCAAGGATTGCTTTCTGGACACTTGTTTGGACCGAGTCTGCCTACAAGGGGCGCAATGTGTGGGGAAAGGGGTACAGGGGGCATGAAGTGCTGGTTTCCTCCGAGGTATTTCTTGCAATGCTGACCCCCCAGAGCACTATTCTGTGGGGTACGGGGCGTTCTGGGAGTTCGCTTCTCTGACTTTTAAAGGGGTGATTTCCTCCCCCTTTATATATATATTTTGTAATCCAGCAGTTAAACAAACTGCACAAGCAGTGGACTCTGCCAGACAGTGTTGCAGTGTTGTACAGTATTGGTAAGAAAAGTTGTCTTTTTTGCTGAGTTGATGGTGAGACACTTGTGTCCGCCATCCCAACGGGAACTGAACTTCTTTTAATCCCTTTAGAGGGGCATATTTTCCACCCTTATTTCTGAAAGAATCAAGCTGGTTTGAGGCCTCGGAGAAGGAGAAGTAGGGTCTGGAATCAAAAAGCTGAATCCTGCGGAAGAATTTTTGAATTTGTACCTTCTGAGAATTTTAATATTTTTATCGAGTTGGAGCCAGGAGAAAGCAAGCACCGTCTTTGCATATGCCCTGAAACCACCATCTTGTACTTCTGTTTCAAATGATGGAGTGCCTTGTATGATGAGAACAGCGCTCTCCTGCAGTTCCTGCAGCAAGGTGAAGCTGGCCGCTTTGATGTCCCAGGAAGTGAGCCTTCATAGCGGGCAGCTCAGGAGACATTTCTTGCATGCAGAAGCCAAATGAAGGATAGTAGCATCTTAACTGGCCTAATCGTGGCCCTTGGCCACTGTGATGCATTCAAGAGATTGGTTGGAGACCAGTTTTCCATCTCTTTACTTTCTGGTGCTATTCTGGTGTCTCGAGTGCATTGGCAGAGCATCATAGCCTTTCAAGGTGGGAGTGTGATGTGGATGCAAGGAGCAGATCCATATGACTTGACTCCATGAGTATTTCTCCCTTTTAAAGAAAAAGGGATGTTTTACGCTCCCTCTCTTTTAGCAACACAACCCTTGCTCGTTCTCTTTATCAAGGTGTTGATTTGTTGTTGTCATTTAAAGATCACACACTAATTATTCTTAAGGTATACCCATAGCCTTTTCTTTTATGCAGATAGTAACATATAACTGGGGTACCAGCCACATCACGTCCTGTGGATCTATCACTGTTTGTGGCCTCTTTTCTGGTCCTTCCGTGTGCCCACCACCTCTGCCAATCATAGATAATGCCAATCTAGATAATGAAAAGTGGGGGGTTTTCTATGTCTCTCCTTGACTGAAGCCCTGTGTTGCCCTTCTGTCTGCCATATGTTTTTAGCGGAAAATTTGTGCCAGTGCACCTGTAAATCTTTTAAAAAAACTTAAGCCACCTTGTTAATTAAATGTGGTAGCATGTCTCAGTGCTCCATCCATGTCCCTTTCTCAAAAAACATGGATGGATAGGTGGGCTGGTGGCTGTGGGTGCAGTCAGGACAATTTCAGCACTTAATTTAAAGGGGGGGATCTCTGCATCTGGAATGGTCATTGCAGATAGTGTGTATGCAGAAGACATGCCCTGGGATGATAAAGGATGATAAACTGAAATGTGGGGAGGACTAGTATGGCCACAACCTTAAAAGAAGCCTGCTCTGCAAACAGGGCTGAGATGTCCCTCCCAGGCAGCAAGTGAATCTGAGATGCTGCTGCGACAAATGATACTCGCTCGTCACTCATCCCTGTTGATTAGCTTATGGCCTCCTTGGGCTCATTTGGCTTTCAGAGCAATGTGAACTCGGCAGTAGCTGAGAGAGGGGACAGTGCACAAAAGGGCTCATGTATTATGTAAGGGATGTAGCTTAAAGCAGTGAAGGGAAACCTGATGCCCTCCAGATGGTCTTCTGGCTCCCTCTATTCCTAGCCAGCATGGTCAATGGCCAGGGATAATGGGAGTTGCAGCCCAATAACATCTGGAGGGTTGCAAATTCCCCATCCCTGCTTCAAGAGTGTAAATCACTTGCTCCACAGTATCATGCTTCCCCGTTCTCTTGTTCCATAGGATCTGTTCTGGTTGTGGATTTTCCATCATCTTTTCCAGGAAGTCTGATTGCCTTTTACCACTCTTCCACCCGCCCACCCCCCCCGACAGACAATATTTTCCAGGTTTTTACTTAAAGAAAAAAAGCAAATCTTTTTACTTAACTGCCTTTCTGTAGCAGGATTGAGCTGGTCTTCCTCTTGACTAGTGAGCTACTGCAAAGTAATTAAACATTTCAGAAGATGGTGTGCTGTGGGTGTCTCTAGCTATAGGGCCAGGGAGTGTTGTCTGTGATCAGTATTTTATTTGTGAGTTGTGGATGGAGGAAGAGGCAATATGGTGTGGGGCCCAAAGAGGAGGTGAACATCTACAGTATGTTAACATAATTGGGGTGGGGGGGCGTGGGAGTTCACACGGGGAATATTTAACATGTCTTACTACAATACAGAATGTGTACAGACACTTATGAGCCAAATGCAAGCATATCATGTTAGAAAATGTTCACAGATTAAAAAAAAATAACACTTTTGGAGCATTGTTTAAGGAACCATCCAACATGCTTGTTGCCTGTCTCCTTTTGTGTCTCTACAGTTAAGAAGAAAAAGATTTTAAATATGACTGGATCATATTTATATTTAAAGATGGATGTTCTTTTTGTAGTTCACATTGAGCATAATTTTAGGTAATAAATAGTGAAATTCTACTGAAAACGAAGCCCGTATTAATCCATTAGCAATTGCCTGTGTTAAAATGTCTGAAACATATTCCTCTTTAGAATAGTGGGTCCTCTCATCAAACTCCTCCAAGTATTCCTTGTTTTTTCTCTTTTCTAGCTTGTTAACTGCCAAGTTTATCTGCAAAAGAAATGCATCATGAAAGGTGGGGTGGAGGGATCACATTCATTACTGGGGCCATGAACCTTTGGTGGCTGAGAGATGAGCCTTAATGTTTAGTCATCCTCCAGAGCTGGAGAAGTTGAGCCAAGTTTCAAGATTAGATGTAAAGGAGGTTGGCATCCATCATGTGGTCCTTGAGGTGAATTGATAGTGATCTCTCTGCAGGAAGACCCTTATAAAGAAGCAATCTAGGTTTGGTGGGTTGCATTGTTTATGAAATTTGCAACTAATGAGAAAGTAAACATTACACACTATTGGAACAAGTGTTCTTTTGCAAAGCCATGTAGCAGTCTCTGCCTGTTTTTGTTTTGTTTTCTTAAAAAAAAATTAAAAGACTGGCTGTAAACAGAGAGAATGCTTTAGTTGGCAAGCTGGAACAGACTCTGAGGAAAGCTGCAATCAGCAATTCAGCTGTGGCAGTGGTTGAGAACTGGGTACATTTGCAACAAAAAGGCACAAGGGGGAAACAGTTTTAGTGATCTTGAGAGGAAGAAGCTGTTTGCTGTCCCTGCTGAGCTTTATAATTACAGCAAAGGGGGCTGTGACAGAAGGTTAGGAAAGAACTCATCAGTTGTCACCAGACTCGTGGGTGCGAGTGTTTTGAACCACCGGCCACAAAGAAGGATGTCAAAAATGCCAGAATGACCAGTTCTAGTGTTTTATTAAAAGAATGGTATTGACTTAAGCAGTTGAGCCTACCAGGTTTCCCTGCCTTTAGAGATGTTGGACGGACATCGCAGCAAGGAGATGTCTTCCCAACACCCAAGCAAACATTCATGCCTTCTTTCTACACAGAGCAGCATACGTCACTCTGGCCAGGACTTCCCATCACTCCACCTGCCCAGATGAGAGCATAGGTGGCAAATGCCCAAGTCTTACAGATAGTTCTACTTTCTGGGCTCGGAGCCCACCACCCCAAGCTCACAGATAAGGGTAGCTTCAAAGTGAGTCAATTAGCCTATATCAAAGCATGTGATTATAAATATATATGAGCTCAGGGTTACAACAACTACCAATTAATTGTGGGGTTACCTTGCTCCCCAGTTCAGAGGAACAACAGGTTGACATAAAGCAGTTCTGATCAAACTCTCTACCTGGAGGAAACACAAGGCACCTGTTGGAGAACCTCTGCATGTTGCAGACACCCTGGAGCAGGTCTGGAACCAGCTTGTACAACTGAGAAGCTGCTGTTCCTCTTGATGAAACCTGTGCCCCCAAACAAGCACCACCAAGCTGCCTATTGCAGAATATGATGCATAGTGGAAGGAAAACTTGTTTGCTATTTCTGATTTCTAGACTGGGGAACCTTTGCCTAACCTTTGGACTCCTGGCATCACTGCATCAAAAGCAACTGCCTTTGAAGGATGGCCAGTAAACAAATCACTGCTTATCTCTTGTGACCCAAACCTATGTGTCTACACTTGTCTTCTGCTTGTGGAATGCTCTCCCCAGGAAGGCCCTTATTACATATCTTTAGGCACCAGGCAAAAAAAGTTAATATTCCCCAGGCCTTTGGATAATTCTAACCGATGGCCTTTTAAAGTATGGAGGGGGTATTGTTTGTTTGTTACAATGGTAATTTTGAGTTTTTATATTATAAACTACCCTGTGATCCTCAGATGAAAGGCGGTATAGGTAATTAATTAATTAATACTAAATAATACACTCTCCTGCTCTAAGATGTATGAAATGCACTTGCGATTTAGTGCCTTGTTAATTGACTGCTGTTCCCGCCCTTTTAACAGGCCAGAAAGTCATCTATGCTGGGCTCCTTGGGGAATCCTAAAACAAAGCATGATGTCAGTAGCAGATGTCCTGCATCTCACCAAACCACTCTTCCCACTTGACATGGTGTGCTGACCACCTGCTTCAGACAACTGTGACTCCCTGTAAGCTGAGCAGAGCCTGGTGTGTCAGAAATAAGATGATGTTTGCGGCACCTGGGGGTTTGCTTTGACACAATCAGTATGACTTACCCGGTTTTAGCAGCTAGGTTTTGTTTTCAGAGCTGTTGTCATAACAGCGCATAACTGAAGCAGATGGTTTGCTTTCTTCCGTGACTATTGTGTGTGCTCAGTATGGAAAACTAACACCATTGTTGGATCTTAAGTATACAACACAGACCCTCCTTTGGTCTTGCCTCTCAGTTCTGGTATTTCTTCCCAAAGTTCTTTTCTTCACCATTTGCACCGTGTAAGGGAACGAAAACAGCATAAATCTCTCCCATCTCATACATTTAAAGCACATAGCTTCCCTGCAGAATCCTGGCAATTTTTGCTTAAGCCTTATGAAGCTACAATTCCCAGCCCCCTTTACAAACTCCAGGACTCTGTGGCGGAAGCTATGTGCTTTAAATATAAGCTGTGGGTGTGGCTTTGCAGGCAGTGATGGCCACCTACATGGATGACTTTGAATGGACAAAATCATGGGAGGATAAGGCTATCCATGATGGCTATGCCGACAGAGGCAGTATCCTAGAAATTGCAGGAGAGGAGCATACTCTTGTGCACAAAAGCTGTCTGCAGGTTTCCCACAGGCCACCGTGAGAGCAGGATGGAGTAGATGGGCCATTGGCCTGATCCAGTAGGTTCTTCCTATGTTCATAGTTCAATGGTGCTGCAAGGGGTTTATCATGAAAAGTAAGCTAAGCTCTGCTTTCTGTGGGCACTTTGCCCATTCTACCCAACTGCCAATAAAAAATTGTACTTCAGGGCTAATCAGCACGACAGGGATACTATAGTCAGGTGGTGTATTAAATCAGAAGGCTGGCAACCAGGACGACTCCCTTGTCAAAGGAATTTTCTTTATTTCTGTAATCATCATTGCTGGGTGCAGTTAATACTCATTATTCCAGAATCTAGAAGAGTAAAGCTATGATGAGCTGTACAATGTAATGCCAGAGGCCCTGGTCATTTCCCAAAGTTGCCATGAAGTAGGGTTCTTTCCAGTAAAGTGAAGACTCAGCTTTTCGTTGCTGCTGCTAACTTTCTGGTGTGATGATGTGGCTGCTTGCCCTCCCATGCAAGCCAACAGCCAAATAAGCTTTGGCAATGACACGTATTCTAATCAAAGAGGTACATGGAGCCTTTATGGATTAGGGAAAGGAAACAAAATAATACATTTGACAGCCACTCAATATGTCTCACGTAACATGGAAACTTGCCATCTTAACATTCCCACCTTTGGAACTTAATAAGCATCGCTCTAAGTTTCTGGCTCTTTGCACTGCAATTAAGTAGTCACTTCTATGTCCAAGAAGTTTCCTCATTCTTTACCCACCCTCCCCTTCAGGAAGCCTTTCACCATGCATTCCTAAAAACGACCACCACCACTTATTTGCAGGAAGATTAAATAAATGAAGGCAGAACTTTTCTCCATCTGGGGTAAAAAAATGGGGCAACCTGTGCCCCTTCTCACAGAAATCCCAGAAAGTTCACTAGAAGTTACTTCCATGTAAGCGGACACAGGATTGCAGACCAAGTCTCTTCTGCCTTTAAGGTGAGTATACTCATACTCATACTCATATCTAGGGCTGTATGTGTATACTTAACCCACACCGCATCCCAATGAAACCTTAACCCAGTGTAACCCAAACTCTGCAACTTGTATAGATTAAGCAACTTTGTTTGCACTTGCTTAATTTTGCTTCTGGAAAATTGTGCAAGAGAGGAGAGCAACAAGGGAGTGACACACTGTGCTGAATACCCCTCTCCCCACCCTTGAAGTCTTACTAGGCCTTTCACACTCCATTCTGACACCTGAGGCAGAGGGCCTTCTCAGTAGTGGTGCCCGCCCTTTGGAATACCCTCCCATCAGATGTCAAGGAAATAAACAACTATCTGACTTTTAGAAGACATCTGAAGGCAACCCTGTTTAGGGAAGTTTTTAATGTTTGATGTTTTCATGTATTTTTAATATTTTGTTGGAAGTCACCCAGAGTGGCTGGGGAAACCCAGCCAGATGGGTAGGGTATAAATAAATTATTATTTATTATTATTACTGTTATTATTACTGAGCATTCAACAAGCCATGGCCCAGTGTCCACACACTTCCAAGCCTACTTTCATATCTGTAAGAGCTAGAAAGATGCATTTCTATAAAATGAAAAGCCCTATTGGCCAAATTCTACAGAAAGCTCCTAAGAGCTGTTATACTCAGGTAATCACTCCAGAGAGGCTCAGTGTGCATAATATTATACTGGATTTCAGGATTTGCAAGCACCACACAGCAGGGTGCATCTTCAGCAGCAGTTCCCACCTTGTTCACCAGAGGGCTACACACAAAGTGCTCTCACAAAGCATCCTGCTCAGTTTCACCCACGCCGTTCCAACCAACTGAATTTACAACTTTTCTGAAATTATAAAATTTTATTTTTTCAAATTTTAAGAAAACATTAAAAATACTGACAACTCCGAATGCGTTCCCTCCCCCCACAAAATAAAGTTGTGCCATGGCCCACACAAAGCTGAAGTTGATCCTGTGGATTCCATGTATCAAGGAAAGGATGTGGGTTATTTAGAGGCTGGCCTTAACTCTGCAGCCGCATGCTCCTGTCACAATTCATTGGTGATAAAGGAAAAAATGAGCAGCAACTGCCAGGACCAGTTGAGGTACCCAGTACTATGGCTTACAAGCTGTAACAAAGAACAAAGCAGCACTCATTTGGGTTTTTGCCACTTTTAGTCCGTCTTTTTCTTCCCTGAAGTGCCACCAGAGGCAACAAAAATGTCACAAGTTGATGGGAGAGAGAAAACAGCCTTCTCAAGAACCTGAGCATAAAATCCAAGCGGGCTCTTAGAGCAAAGATAAAAGTCTGTTACAGTATGAGCAGGCGGCTTCCAAACGTTCATGCAGGAGAGCTGAATTTTGGCAAGGTGACCTCCACAGGGTACAGTTAGTTGACACGGGTTGATTTGATGCTACTTCCAAGCAGATAAGAGAAACAACATTTCAGTCAATAAGCACCCACCTTTGGAGGTTATGAGCAGTACTAGCACCTCAAAAAAGCCCTATGTTTTGCACACTTGCAAAAATCATCATCAGGATTCTGGTCTAGGTGCAACAGAAACAGTAATGTATGGGCCAACTGCTGCTTGTGATGAAAAGAAAAAAGAATGACGCCCAGATTAGACTCAGGCTCAAATCATCTCTAGTCCTGCTAAGGTCTTTGTGGTGCACAAAGACATGCTCTGCTGACTTCTAAGCAATGGTGGCTAAGCAAACTTGCCAGGCTGACAGAAATCTGCTAATTTGCTGGCGGGATACACTTTGTTAAAAGAGAAAAAAAAGCTGGTGCAGCAGCCATAAACTGGCAGTGAAGCACTGTAGCATTCTGGGTGAACTCAGGTTATTTCCTCATGAAAAAAGAAGTGTGGGAGAAACGAACAAGGACATCTCAAAAAGGGGAGGGGTGAGGGTGGGGAAGATAAATAGCTTTTGCTTTTTTTTTTTAAGATAGCTAATGTAAACTTCAACGGCATGATTTTTCCCATTCAGACCAACTCTTGCGAGAGTCCTAGAGATCTGGCACATGATCAGAAGTCAGAGATCTGTAGGCCAAAGCTGGCCAGCAGACAAAGATGATCAGATGAACAGAAAGGGTTTGGCAAGCCATTTGCTGACCAAAGGATGTCTTCAGAGAGGAGGGAGAGGTGGCCAAGCAGCTTTAGGGCTCCATCTTGGTACATCCTGCGACCTGAAAATGAATCACAGTTGCAATAAGAGGAGCACAGAGCATGCACACTCATTCCCTATGTGGAGTGGCGGAAGCATAAGCTCAGCCACAGAAAGACTGCAATGAAAGTGTCAAAAAGTAAAAATACTGATATTAGCAACTGTCATGGGCACACACACGCACGCACACACACACGAAACAACAACACTGTTTTCAATAACTAAATAATGCACTAACCCAGACACACTTATACAGCCTCTCAAAATTATAACCAATTAGTTTTCTAATTCTACTACCATCCCTCCCTGACTGCAATATCCTAGATGTGTATTCAGCTCATATTCCCAAATCTTCCAGCATTCAATAAAATATGAACCAGGGAAACAGGAAAATGGCAATTTTGAAGCTGCCTTATACCAATTGTCGGCCTCAGTAATGTCTACACTCACCGGCAGGGACTTTCCATAGACAGGTCTCTCCCAGCCCTACCTGGAGATTCCAGGGATTGTACCTGAGACCTTCTGCATTTTAAAGCACATGCTCTACCAGTGAGAGAACATGTTGCCAATACATTTTGCAGTCATCACGCAAGTGATCACTAGCTTGGTAAGTATAAACTTCATTTCAGGTTTTACCCTCTCAAATGACTTTCTCAGGCTTGAGACCTCAAATTAAAGTGGGGGGACAACACAATGTAGATGTTCAGTACAGTATCTCCCTGTGACAAATTGTGGACAGCACTGGACACTGACATTAGGATACTTTTCTTGAGAGCCTTCAGGAGCCAGATCAGAGATGTGAGCATAGATCCTGCTGAAGAAGCGTTTGTGGGAGGCAAGGGGCATAGGTCAGAGCTAAAGTACAATAAGAAGGAAGAACTTATGGCAAAACAACAGGAAGTCAGCACTCTAGCCTGTTCCGATCACAATTAAAGGAACAGCTGTAAGAAGCAAAGCACTTACATGATCACCACTGCAACTCACTGCAGAGTAATAGCCAGATGAAAAACAGGGGGAGTTATGCATTTTATGATGACATAAGCTGCCATCCTCAGTGGCTCACTGAAGGGCTGAGGCTGAGATAGACAGGCAGTCCATCACAAAAGCTCTGATGAAATACACAAAGTTTAGCCATACAGGAGATTCAAGTTCTGTAACACTCACATTCTTCATTATCACTCTTGACAGGCTTTGCTGAATAGAAGATGTAATCAACTGTGGCCCCCACACCCATTGGCATGGTTGTAATCTCAGGGCAACCTCTCTCAGGCAGGAAGTGGCTGTAGGCAGAAGTCAGGTTGAGGCCATGCTGGATACTGCCTGGATACCTGTAAAGGAAAAACAGCTCCTCATCCCCAAAACATGGGGAAGAGGAGAAGAAACGCAATTAATGCAAGAAAAGCACACTTTAAAAGTACTACTATTCAACTACTCAACTCTGCCTTCCACAGACATTTGCTTTGCTATTACTGTCTGATCCTGGGGAAACTCCCTTAAATTTGATTACAACACGCTATTTGATAAATGACTATTTTCAAGGGGAGTCTGCTCAGACCCCTAAATCTTGCTAAGGTGGGACCAAGCTAGTGTAGCCTTTATAACCGTTGCACTATCCTGGCATATCTCTAATCTTATACAGTGGTACCTCAGGTTACATACGTTTCAGGTTACATACACTTCAGGTTACAGACTCTGCAAACCCAGAAATACTACCTCGGGTTAAGAACTTTGCTTCAGGATGAGAACAGAAATCGTGCAGCGGCAGCGCAGCGGCAGGAGGAGGCCCCATTAGCTAAAGTGGTGCTTCAGGTTAAGAACAGTTTCAGGTTAAGAACGGACCTCCGGAACGAATTAAGTTCTTAACCCAAGGTACCATTGTACCTCAATTTGAGTTTCAAGAGAAATTCTCACTTGGCCCACTCATGGTTGGTTTCAATTTATTTCATTGTAACAAATGAAAAGAAAAACTCCCTCCTGTGACCCAGAGAGTAACTGCAGTATGAAGATTAACTTGCTCTTGCAAACACAGCCCCCTTTTCTTGGAGAAAACCTTGACTCTAACATAGGCTTTGTGACAGGGATCATACAATCCTCTTCAACCAAAGGTGACTTCACCATGCTCTCAAGATAACAATCCTGGCTATGGAACTGTCTCATTCATGGGACCCAACACCCTTTCCCTTCAAGTTACCTTGAGTAACACAGATCTGGGTCAGAGTTGTTCATTACAGTGAGCTCCTTAGGCCAATGTGCAGGACGGTCTGCAATGCACCAAAGAAAATTCAGATCAGATACACCACTGAACATACAATTTTGGGGTTAAACTCACAATTAGTAACCCCATCCAAATTGCTGCTTCAACAACTGACATTGTCAAGACCAAGTGGCAAAATGGGAGAGGGTGGGGAACAGGTAAAGGTTTCAGCATTCAATGAAATATATTGGTGCATAAAGAGATTAGGAGGTGAGAACATCTACCACAGTTAGAAATGGGCCCCTCCTGCTTTCTCACCTCCAGAACTGGGTTAAGCAGGTCATACGCAAACAGGAACAATAAAAAACCAAGACAAGGCTCAGGTGATGAGTAAAGGTGCTGCTCTTTCAAGTAATAGATTTTGCCCAGGATTGAAAGAACCACTTTAGGAATGCCCAAGAGTAATTGTAGACATTTTCGTAAAACAGCAAACCTGCATGACATACACAAGCTGCCTTTGTAACAGTCCTAAATTTCAAAAGTAAATTTGCCACATGGCATGGAAGGCTGATTGCTATTTGAAAAACACAAGCCTCGATGCTTATGTTTTGTGATCCTTGGACTTAACTTGCTGTTGGCACATAATGGACTATCATTACCAAACTGCAAAAGGCGAGAATAATCAACAAATATCTTTTAATCAGGAGATTGCATGAGGCAGATTTCAAAGAGTGGGGGAAATGTAATCAAAATTCCAAATTTGACACTCTTTTTGGAATGCAAGGTTTGCTACAAAGTCCTCAAAAGCATGTGGCCATGCTTCAGCCCACCAATGAACACCTTCAGCAGCATGGGCATAGCCAAGGGGGGGGGCAGCTGCCCCCACCCAATCAATAAAATTCAATAAAAATACATAGCAAACTGAGGTTCTGACCCCCTTATAAAAGGCCTGCCCCACTAACAAAAATCTTGGCTACACCCATGTTCAGCAGTGCCTCAAACCATTCAGTATTATTATTATTTTAAAAAAATAATTTGTATCAAGTTTTACAATTTTATATTCAACACAATCAGTATTATCACAAAAAGAATGTATAAATCTCTACCTCCCCCACCCCACCTCCCGTGACTTCCCTCAACTTCCTCTTCTTTTTTTCCCCCAAAATTTTTATTGGTTTTTACAATATCAATGACAAACAAAAACGTGAGACAAACAAAACATAACAAACATAAATCATAACCTTATTGAAAATAACAGTTATTTACTTTGTAGGATGACTTCCTCGTTTCCCCTTAGTTGAATTTCATTGCATATCCTTATAACGGTTTTCCAAATCCCAATTTTAATACCCTTTAAATTAAACATTAACATTCTTAAATCTTCTCCTTCTTGTATTAAACATATTATTTTAACAGTTAACATAAATACAATCCTAAGCCCATTAAGTATCTGGACGCTATTTCCCGTTATTTTAGTTTAACAAATTTAGCTAAATAATCATTGAATTTCTTCCATTCTTCGTGGTGTTCCTCCTCCTTCTGGTCGCAGACTCTTCCGGTTAGATCGGCTAGCTCCATAAAATCCATCATCTCTCAACTTCCTCTTCTGGTTCATTAATTATTTACTTCTCCTGCCTGTTTTTTCCTACTTTAATTTTATAATTATATAATCTACTAATTAAATATTGTTATAATCTTATAATTTTTGTACCATATTTTCACATTAAATCTTACCCTTTGTTATTTCCCCATTATTGCATCTTGACCTTTATACTTGTTTTCTTAATTGTAAGTGTTTACTCAAACCCTGCTAGTGAGTCCAAACCATTCAGTATTAAAAGTTCTGTTCCAACTAGGTTTATCATAGTTGCAGAATGAAGCGGTGGGAAATTTTGGATACCTGGCGTGGCATCCGTCACACCTTCCAACAGGATCAGATCTGCAGGTCGCTCACATGCAACATCACAATAACGGAACTGAAGCAGGAAGTCACGGCTGTATTTGCGCCTGTCTACAGGGAGAAATGCAGATCAAAGGAGGGAAATAAAACAAAGCATTTAAGTTGATTTTGATTATTTTCACACAACCTAGTGTTGTTATTTGCATGAGGTGGAGGTACAAGTCCACACTGCTCCCATACAACCATCAAAATGCAATTTCAAAACTCAAATGCTGGTTAAAGCGAAGGAGGGGGACCCTAACCCACAATTATGGATGACGGGAATACACACTTTTATGAATAAACATGTTTAGGCTCTTAGACAGTCTGATGGTTTTAGAGTGTAAAAAACTAGCAACTTTCAGACAGTACATTAATGGCATAGAACAAGTCTCTGCAACACTTGTCCTCATTTCCACCATGAAGCTCACCTGACTTCTTGCTTTGGCACAGACTGACATACTGGCAGCTGTCCGTAATCCCCAGAGAGCTGGGCCACAGGGGAGTCAGCAGTTTCCGCTGGTGTGGGTTCTGACAGAAGTCTTCCTGTCCAGACACCTACAGGGGCAGAACACAAGCACACGCCAAAGTGTTTTGAAACACACAATCTTCTCAAATACAGCAAAATTTATAGTAGGTGCAGCCACACACACAAGCTTAAAAACTGGCACTTACATCTACAGTTTTGTGACTACGCTAGGAATTTACAAGCAAAGGAATTAGTCACTTAGTCAAAAGAAAGAAAACCCAATGAAGGGTGTGTATTATGGGATCAAAGGTGCTGTTGCATGCAAGTTTTTGAAGCACCCGTACAGTGCTGCTGTCATCAGAATGCCAGCATGTATCTCCCACCACCCCAATTTAATCTGAAGTTACGCTTTCCAAAAATAATACAGCAAAAGGAAGCCTGTTGCTAAGGACCCTTTTATAATACTATGCCTCTGTTTGGAAGCACCCAGTCTAGAATATTCCCGGGTAATCAAGAATGTTAGAAATCTAGCCTATAGCAGATGGGGGTTCAACAGAAAACATGTGATTGTCTCAAGGAGAGAAAAAGGTTTAGAATCCAGTAATTTTAAACTGTTATATGCATGAGTTTTCAATGTGCATCCAATGCACACCCTCATCTAGCAGCCCACACATGCTGGTAGCTTCAGTTTATTGACTTTCTGCTTTTCATAAAGTTTATTATTTTCAAATGAAAAAAATAGAATACATTGGGGGCAGCTAGAATGAGGGGAAATAGTTTCTATCTGTTCTAAATTGAATGCATCATAATATCTGTTTGAACATTTAATTTAACGTAGAAAAGTTTTGTTCTCAATAACTTCCTATTTCTGTGTCTGCTTTGTCCACCGCCCCAGCTTCATGTTTTGTGCTAATATACTAAACAGCGGGAAGCGGGTGGCACTGTGGGTTAAACCACAGAGCCTAGGACTTGCCGATCAGAAGGTCAGCGGTTCGAATCCCCGTTCTCGGTCCCTGCTCCTGCCAACCTAGCAGCTCGAAAGCACATAAAAGTGCAAGTAGATAAATAGGTACCGCTCCAGCGGGAAGGCAAACGGCGTTTCCATGTGCTGCTCTGGTTTGCTAGAAGCGGCTTAGTCATGCTGGCCACATGACCCGGAAGCTGTACGCCAGCTCCCTCAGTCAATGAAGCGAGATGAGCGCCGCAACCCCGGAGTCGGCCACGACTGAACCTAATGGTCAGGGGTCCTTTTACCTTTACCTTGACTAAAGCAGCGATGCAGGCAGCTGTCATGCAGATAGCCTAAGTTTACATAGATTCTAGCATGGACTTCTTCCTGTAGCACCTATGACCCAAATACAATAATGGCCTTTTTATCACAAGAGAAATTAACTCATTCAATTTCTTTTAGTGAACTGACCAAAGCCACAGAAAAGGTGGTACAATGGTAGAAAATCTCAGAAGCTGCTAAGTCTACAGAGGAACGCCACGATACATTTTAAGTTGAGTCAAGAGATGTTGCCATCTATCCCCTTTCTCTGCTTACCTTCCAGGCTGGCATTCCATGGTAGTACAACTGGCCATTCCGAATGAACTTGTATAGCGGTGAGTCAGGCACAGAGTTCAGGTCCCCACATAAGATAATAGGGCAGTAATTGCCATCAGCCATTTTTGCAGTCTTGTCTACCTCGGCTAGGAGCAGAGCCATCTGAGCCAGTTTGATATCGCCCCGACGGGGATTATACAACACATGAGTGTTTGCCACACACAAAGGGCTGATTGATTTGTCTCCCAAGTTCTCTGGGAGTAAAGGTTGTAGCAGTAATACCAGACCCACATTGTCCCTGTTAAGGATGTCCAAGCCAGGCCGAAAGTATTCAACAGGACTAGCACTTATCAACTGAAATTTGCTTTGCTTGTAGCAGATTGCACAACCATCTGTCTTCCTGCCTGTCCTCCGCTTGTAGATGCAGGCGAAGCCTAGCCAAACAACAAAAGGCTTCATCAGATCAATTTAAACAACCAAGAACTTAAGGCTGCAACTCTGTAACACATACATGGGAATAAGCCTCACTGAACTATAAGTAAATCTGCATAGGATTAGGCTGCAAGTCTCTGTAGGCAAGATTAAATTATATCGAGATCTTACACTTCTGTTTTTACAGTGTCCAGCCAACAAATGTTCCTCCTGTTCCTCTTGTGAAACCATGCCAAGCCAAACACATCCAACTGTCGCAAGAGTTGGAGCAGATTCAGGAAGGCAGGGAACCATGTCTGGGGTGAAGGTTCCCTACTCTGGTACAAAAAAGGGCCAACCTAAAAGTCAGACGGTTCTAAACCTGGCATGATTTTATTCACAAAGCTCAACTAGAGGTTATAGAGGAGATGCGTACAACTGTCTCCTGATACAATTTTTCCTTGTTAAACTGATGAGATGCTACAGGAGCTCCCAAGTTTGAGCAAAGGAATGTCAAAGACTTCTTAATCCTTTTTGCGCCTGGATGTTTCCCTGCTCAAAGTCAGTTTCCCCAACTTGCTTTTCCACTAGTGGGGAGAAGGGTTGCTGGGATCCATATCCTGACTCACAGGAAAAGCAGCTTGCAGGTAGGAGCAGGATTTTGAGTGAGAAGACAGCAGGAGGGAGAGAAGTTAAGCAGCTCCTCCTGCATCAACCTCCTGTTCCTAACTGCAGCCTCCCATGGCTGCTTCTCATTTTTTATTTTAAAAGGAATGTTGACTTTAATCCCCAGCATTAGGCTAAAACCCCACTCCGAAAATCATGGGAGAGACAGACCAAGCCTCTTACTAAATGATGATATCCTAGTGTGACATTAAAGATAGCAGAGAAGCTCCAACTTCCCCACAACCATTCCTTCTATCAAACTCAGGGGGTAAAGCAAATCATCCCAGAAAAATTGTGGCCACTAAAACTGTGTAGAAAAAGCAGTGCTTGGAGGAATCCATAGGAGTATTCTTGAGCTAGTCTCCATCTCAAAAACTACCCATCATCGTAAGTGTTGGTTCCAGCTGTTCCCAATAGTGATTCTCCTGAACTTCTTGGAGACAAAGAATCTGGAAAGCAACAGAGAACATACTTAGCAGCAGCTCTCCCAAGGCAGCACAACAGATTAAGTTCCCTCACTATAACTAGTTCTGACTGAATATCTTCCCTATACCTATTTCCCCTACTACAGAGTGGGAAAATACAGCATCCTTTGGGACTACAAGCAATTACATATTCAAAAAACTACTTAAAATAAGGAGAGGAGGTGCAAAGAGTTCAAGGAGTGGGAGACTGAAAGTGAAAGTGCTTACAGAGTCACAGCCACTGAATAGTGCTACCTAAAGCCAGAAAGTTCTCAGTGACCCTTGATAGGAATCTACAGATAATCCATACTAAAAGACAGGTTTACAGTCACGTGAGCTATGTGCGAGAAGGACCCAAATTCCAGTTGCTGCAAGTGAGGACTCTGGGGGCCATATTATCAGACACTAGCTAAGAGCAAAATACCGTATTTTTTGCACCATAACACTCACTTTTTTCCTCCTAGAAAGTAAGGGGAAATGTCTGTGCGTGTTATGGAGCGAATTCCTACGGATGGCGGGGGGATCTGCTGCAGTCGTGAGCAGAGGATCCATGGTTCCCCTTCCTTCCCTCCTCCGTGGCTCGCTTTGAAACAGCAAAGCGGGAGAAGAGCCGCTGAGTGGGGGGGAGGAGAGGGACAGAGAGCCTGCTAGCTTTAAAGGAGCAAAGCGGGTGTAAGCAGCTCCTGTCCGGTTGGCTCCTTTAAAGCAAGCAGGCTCTCTGTCCCTCTCTTCTCCTCACTCAGCTGGTTAAATAGCAGCAAAGTTTTTCAGCAAGCTGGGGAGGAGGGAGAGAAGCAGAGCCTGCTTGCTTTAAAGGAGCAAAGCGGGAGAGGAGAGGAGCCTTCTCCTCTTATACCCCTCTTCTGCATTATTAACAGCATCCTTCTCCACCCACCCCATGCGTGTTCCTTGTCCCTTGAGTGCTTTTCCTTCCCTCCCCACTTAAAACGTGGTTACAAAGCACAGATCCACATGGATCCTCAAGATTTTTGCACTGGGTCACCCCAAATTCACCATCAGATCACATAGCATGTCCATGGCTACAGCTTGCACCAAAAAAATCACGCACCCACTGTTGCCTGGGGCCGCAGTGGTGCAAAAACGTGGTTACAAAGCATGGATCCACATGGATCCTCAGGATTTTTGCATTGGGCTACCCCAAACTCACCGTCAGATCACATGTCTGTGGCCACAGCATGAACCACAAAAATCATACATCTACTGTTTCGTTTAGAATATTTTTTTTCTTGTTTTCCTCCTCTAAAAACTATGTGCGTGTTATAGAGCGAAAAATACGGTACTTAGGATTTCCCTCTCCTCTCTAACTAATATAGTGCCTAATGCAAATGTTACACTCACTTCAGGATCCCAGTGCTGGATCTCCTGTAAGAGATTTGTAAAGCGATAGCTCCAGTTCATAATGTCTGGATGGCAATGCATATAAAGATGAGGGCTCTGTTCTATCAGGTCCTGGGCCAGAATGTTATACGACATGACTCTGAATTCAAATAAAGACCCAGCCTCTGAGCTCAACTCTGGGATGCAAGCCTGAGCAGAAAGATCTTCCCAGTCCCTCCACAGAATTTCTGCGTAATGACAAAGAAAGGAAAATAAATGTTAGAAATATGGGAGTGGGGGATGAGGGAATAGGCAGAGGAAACTGCATGAGGGAAAAGGCTTAAACCCCCTTCCAGAACCCCAATCCATTCCAAAAGTTCAAACAGGGGCTTTTAATTTAAATCTCTTTTAAATCTCCTGATCACAGATCTCCAGCATCACAAATAGTTTGACCCTATGGACCAAATCAGATGTGATGTTAAATGCACCCTTACATTTAATATGAATGGTTTTAAAAACTACAAATGGCACCATTCTGCCTCCCCCACAATGCAATTAGAAGTGATTTTTACCAGGACCAAAGCAGGGGATGAAAGAGTTAAATCCTCTCTAGCTGTGATCCTCATAATTACAATCTTTTAGAAGCTACTACTTATTTTAAAAGGTGCTTGTTAAATGCAAAGACACATTTACTATCTTTACAGTTTGGCCCTAAGTTACCTCTGCTATGTGGGAAATGGATTAATCATTCACCAATTGCTTGAAGAATTTGAACTATGATATGATCGTTCAGAAATATTATTCAGATTGTAAAAGTACTCCACTGGCAGAGACGGATAGGCGACCAATGGATAAATGTATTTAAAAGCAACAAAGTTAGAATGGTGGCATCTTGAAGATTAACAGATTGTGGTATTTTATAGGCCTACTTCACAAGATGAATTTTTACAGCAACAGATTAAGATAGCTAGTCTTCCAGACTTAAATGTATTGAGGAAGAAAGATTCTGCAATGCTCACAAGTTTCAAACAAGCACTAGATTCATTTCCTTGCAACTGTACTCTGAAACGTCATCTGTTTCACAGATAGCAATACACCTTGAATAACTCTCCTTTCACTACTTTGCCATGCAATTCTGATGGCAACTGTTCACAAAACCTTCTGCCTATGCTTTTTGGGCTGTAATTTTGGTCATACTACATTAAACTAGTAATAACATATCCAAACACGAAAGGAGTTCAGCAATGGACTATGCTTCCAAGGCAAAGCTTTGAAGGAGTCTGCGGAAAGATAATTCAGCTCTTTTGCAGCCTCACACATGGCAAAGATCATACAGTCATATTATATTGGAAAGTTTTGCTCTATGAAAGCAGAGTCAAAACCAGAAGATGAAATACATTCATTATACTCACCATGATAAGGTATCTCTAGTGGAAGTGGCTGAAACTGACCAGCATTCTGAAAAGGCCATACTGCTCCTTCTGTTGGTCCCACATCTGTCTCCTGGGCAGGACTCCAGGCTAACACTGCAGGGTCTTCAATCCACACTTCTGTAGACAGAGGAGCAGCTTCAACCATCTGAGGATCAGCCTGTGTCCTTACTGCTGCCCATATAGCATTGTCCCCTAAGGCCTCCCTTTCTTCTGCGGGTAAACTTCCTGTCACTTCTACAAATTCCTGTAGTCCAGGAGACGTCTCAATCTGGACCTCACTTGGCAGCTGCTCCTGGCCACCAGATTGTGGTGATACATTCAGGTCACTTAAGCTTGTCATCAATAGCTCTGGGCCTTCCAGCCACTCAGCATCTGATATCGTGGGCACCTTTTCTGGTTTTGAAGCACTCTCACTGGCATGGACCTCTCCAGCACCTTCCTCCAGCCACTGCTGCAGCAGGGCTTGCTGCTCCTCTGAGACAGGCTTCCCACTGATGGGAGCAGATAGGCCGTCTATATGGGTGGTCGTGCTCTTCGCCAGAAGCATGTTCTTTCGACATGTAAAGAAAGCATCTGCCAAAATAAGCCAACAGCAGATGCTAATTAAAACAACATGTTTCCAAAGGGTAGCAAAATTAGGTGCCACAAAATTATTAGAACTCAACAGTTTATGATACGAGGACAATTCAGAAGGATCAGCAAAAGGTTGGCACAGTAGGGTACACCTGCTTTTACCAATCCTGAGAAGGTGGGCAGGAAAGTAGTCCATGTCACTGTCTAAAGCAGTCCTACATTGTTGCAGGTTCATGATTTTGAACATTTGGGTTTAGCAATATCAAGACTTCCTTGATCACTTTGGCTGATCTCAAAATCTCAATGATTTTCTATTACTGATTTGAGTGCAAATATTAGTAACCATTAACATAACCATTCATTTCCAAAATATTCTTACCAGATCAGAGGCATTGTTAAAACAGATATAAAAGTTAATCGAGTGATATTGGATTACCTCATGAATTGGAACAGAATGAAGTAGTACAGAATGTAAAGGTTTTAGCTATGTTATCTAGCTGGTATATGTATTTAGGAAACAGTAGTTTCAGATTGGAAAGGAGCAAGAAAACAGGGCAGGGGAAGAGGTTTAAAAATCTCCCCCAAAGTCATGATCCCAATCAAACAAACCAGACAGATCTCCTGCATAGGATCTAGCTTGGCTATTAGATGAATCCTCTTCTCTGGGTTAGCATGCTAATCCTTGTTCCCTCACATTTGTCTTTTAGTCACCTGATATTACATGGTAGCAAAATATTTGTCATCATGATGGGTAGAGTGTGATGCAGGATGATAACTTTATTATGCAAGAAACTAAGGCCAGGGGTCGCAGAGAAAGACTAAGCCTTAAGAGTACTTTCCAATGTGCTGGAGCCCTGAAAATTAATGCATTTACCGTTCAAATAATTGAATTGTTAGAAAATTCTGAAATGGGACATCTGTACCCTTCTCCTTCAAAAGGGGGAGGGGGAGAGAATGTATTAAAAGCATACCTCAAAAAGGTACTTCCAAAGCCACATAGAAAATGAAAATTGGGCACATATCTAGCCCCTAACACTCTGGTTATTAGAAAGAGTCATACAAGGAGACAAGGTACTGCTAGGCTACTTAGAAAACTGAAACTATGCATTCTCACTCACGCTCAGTGTAACAGCGACCTAACTTAAAAGGATTACAACACAAATCTGAAGTGTTTTGAACAGTTCAAAAGGCCTATATGCTTCATTTATTATGATTACCACAAATACACGCGTTTGCCTACTTTTCCTACGCTCCCGCCCACACTTCGCTCCAAACCACCTGCCTCCTTAGTCTCTTTCCCCACTGCCATCATCCAGCCAAACCATAATTACTGTATTTTACGTACAGCAACATTTGGTAGGGAAACCCGGGGGGCGGGGGGAGACAAACGCAGCTTCCCAGTCTTCTCCGTCTGGCCTTTCAGGTTATTCCCCCCCCCCCCCGGACGCGTGCGCATGCACACACGCACACCTTAAAACACACCCCCTTTGAGCGTGCGTGCGTTTTCGTTCCGTTTGCGGCGGGATAGAGAAACAGCATGAGTAGAAGAAACCAGCCGACGGTACAAAGGCACTGTTTTGCATTCATTGCCCCGCCCACTTCTGCGTCGGGTTCCGCCCACAACTGGCACGCCTGTCCTGCTCCCCCCCCCCCCCGCCTGCCCCTCAGTTGCCCATATAGGAAAGTGGCCATCTGGTTTTAAAATAACACAGCCCCCCACTGATGTTAAGCATTTTATTATACTGAAATAAAGCACCGGCGACAGATAATGTCGTCCCCGTGAATGTAGGGGCAGAACTGTTAACAACAACCACCACCACCACGTCCTTCGAGGGGGGGGCGGACTTCGCAAAAAGGGGTCCCTGAGGCGGGGAGAAGGGGAGGCTTCCAGGCCGCCAACTGAGCGTCGTCCGGCCAGGCCTGGTGGAGAAGCGCGGAGGGGCAGCGGGGATTCCTGTCAGCTTTGGGCCTCGGCTGACAGAAGCCCTCGCGTCGTGTGAGAAGCCGCCTCTTCTTTCTGAGGAGGCTTGTGGGGGGCAGGGAAACAGGAGGAGGCCGGGAAAAAAGGAGGGACGGCGGCGCGGGGAGGGGGGGGTTACCTCGGAAAGCCCGCAGGAGCCGCGCCACGGGCAGCAGCACGTAACAGAGCACGGTCCCGATCATGCCGCCCGCGCCTCCCCTCCCAGCTGTGGGCCACGCGCGAGCCCGACTCCGCCTCAGCGAGGCTCGAGCGCGCTGATTGGGAGCGGCGCGCGGGCGGGATGAGCCGTTGGGCGTCGCGGCGGCCCGAGGGCCCTCCTTGCGTTGGGAAGGCTGGCGGGCCCGGAGGAGCTTCCCCAAGCGAGCGGGGCTGGTGCTCAAGGACTGGCGCGAGAGGCTTCGGGAGGACGCGGCTCCGTATCCGCCGCCCGCTGGACGGAGGCTGTGAAGGGGGGACGGAGCACCTGTACAGATCCCGCTGCTGGATCTCCCCGGTGCCTGCTGCTAAATGCGGAATATCCCAAGCAGGCGCTTCTGTGGGAAACTCTGGAAGCCACCCCCCTCAGCCCATGTTCATTTATTTGTCTTAGTTCATAAAATGTATACGCCCGCTTGGTTTTAGTAGCGGGGAGGGGGCACACTCAAAGCTAAAATAAAGACAAAACAATAAAATTATCCCTGAAAAGTTTGCAGCCGTCATTTAAGAACATGCGGATAGATAAGAACACACTACTATAGGAGAGACTGAAGCCAATTTTAAAATCCTGCACGCATTCTAAACATCTGGGCAACTTTCTAAATAAGACAGCCAATAACCAGGCCTTTTGTTGATCTGATTTACACCCTATGCCCTTTTAAAAGGTTTTGGGGGGGTATGGGTGGTTGTTTTTATTTTTATTCTGTATTTTGTGGTTTTATATCCCGATTTTATTCTGGGAACCGCCCTGAGATTCCCCAGATACAGGGCAGTATATAAATTTAATAAATAATAAAAAAGGGTGACTTTCAGCGGGTCGCTCTCTCTCTCGCAGGCATAACTTTACCTCAGAGCATGGGCGAAGCCAGGATTTTTTGTTGGGGGGGCAGAACCTCTGATTTGTATTGATTTTGATTGATTTATGGGGGCTAGCTGCCCCCCCTCCCCGCTATGCCCATGCCTCAGAGGGTTATTGTAAGGATGAAAGGGGAAGGGGAGTCTATTCAACAGTGGAACCATCTCCCTCAGCGGGTTGTGGACTCTCCTTCCTTGGAGGTTTTTAAGCAGAGGTTGGATGGCCATTTGTCATGGATGCTTTAGCTGAGATTCCTGCATTGCAGGGAGTTGGACCTTTGGGATACCTTCCTTAGTACTCTTACGATGCTATGATCAAATGTCGGCTACCTGTGGCTTCTTAAGAGGAAAGGCACAATACAGATGCAAAAAATAGTTGGGGCTTCCCAAATTTTCTAAGCGGGGAGGGGTGGGTACTGCAATGAAGCAACGGAATTGCATTGGGAGACCAGGTGCCCTGCGCTCAGCGCACATCTCACTGCTTCGTGGTTGTGCAAATCAGCATAGCAGCCTGTCAGGTGCGCACCTTAGGAATCTCCTTCTGGAATATCACACACACACACAAACACCCCACTTCAGCACACCCTTGTGGTTTATGAGGATTTTAATAATAGCATTAGCAGCACAGAATCAAGGTTAATAATTATTATTGATGAATCTAAAACTGGACTGTGTGGTTTGTGAAGCATTCAGGAGCTCTGAATTAGTGCAGGCCATCACATTTTCCCAGAATTAAAGAAACATGAGACTTGTTTATTAGTGTTTTTAAAAAGTAAAATATAATTTGGAAGGGAAGGAGTTTCCTTCTGGTGTCTCATACTTAAAAAGTCAGATTCCATTTCCCCCCATAATCCAAAGGCTTAGAGCTTCTTTGAAAATGAAAACAGTTTATCGGATTTTAACTCCATTATTTTAAATTACCTAATTTAAGAAGGTCCTAAAAATAATAATAGTACTGCTAGCTGCTCTGATTAATTCCTCTCTTTTTTCATTATCTTTTTTGCCTTTTCCTGTCATGTAAGGCCTGGGTCATTTACTTGAACCATGTGGGTTGGTTTTACTAAATTTACCCCATGCTTGTCTGCAAGATCACTCCCAAAATAACCCTATCACCAGCTCCAGTCTTGGATTTATTTACATGCTCATGGAATAAATCAGAGGTCACATTAGGTGATAATTAGAAGCCTTTCTTTTTGTCTAACAGTTATGACTAGTGCAGCTGTCACTGAAAACAAGAAAACAGTCTCTGTTTGCTAATTGGAATTGTAAGCAGCTCACGACTTGCAGCAAGAAAACAGAGACTTGATGGGCACCCAAAATAGAAAGCAAGAGTGAGTGCTAATGGCCCAATCCTATACAAATTTAAGCATGTCTAAACATCACTTCTCTTTACCTTGTCCATTGACATTCAATATATAATTTATATGAGCCACCCTAATAATTGTATTTATTAATTGCTGTAACCTGTCCAACGACCTTATGGTGAAGGGCAGGTAAGAAATCAAATAAATAATAATGATCCCAATGAACCATCTTTTCAACAACTGTGTGGCGGGAAAGATGTCACTACCACATTCAGCTTGGTTTCCTTCTGTATTGTATGCTACTTTTGGATGGCAACAGATTTTACCATTTTTGCTGTCCCTTAAGAAAGGCTATTATTATGAAGACTCTTGCTTAGCACTACCTAACCAGCGTTCATGCCTATACAGTGGTACCTCGGGTTACAGACGCTTCAGGTTAGAGACTCCACTAACCCAGAAATAATACCTCGGGTTAAGAACTTTGCTTCAGGATGAGAACAGAAATCACACGGCGGCAGCACAGCAGCAGCAGGAGGCCCCATTAGCTAAAGTGGTGCTTCAGGCTAAGAACAGTTTCAGGTTAAGAACTGACCTCCGGAATGAATTTACGTAACCAGAGGTACCACTGTATTATACAATATTTTAAAGCTAATATTAATAAAAACTATAGTTAAAAATTTACACCTCGCTTTCAGATGTCTGCTATTTATGAAGATAGGAGTGTCATACAGATGCTACATGTCTAAATGTTGTGATTGGGAAGAATTCTCACAAAGGGGTCACCTGTGTCATGAATTGTTGTGATCTGGCTAATTTAATAGGCTTTAGGGTGCCAAATCCATATGCTGATCTTAATCAGCCGCCCAAGGTTGACTGTTGTAAAAAAAATCACCACATTTAAAGAGAGGGAGGTGAACTTGGGTTATGGAAAGTAGCAGCATTAGTACCCAGAACCATACATTATTTCTTAGAACCTCAACAGGTTTAGCTGCCCCTTAAGCTAAGGTTACCAGATGTCCCCATTTCCCGGGGACAGTCCCCGGATTTACACATCAGCCCCCATACAAAATCAGTTGAAGTTGAAAAGTGTCCCCAGATTCATTGAAAAAAATCTGGTAACCTTACCTTAAGCAATCAACAGCATCACTTTCTGAAACAAAATCTCTCACCTGAATTCTGATCCATTTTGATCCAGCTCAGCAAAGAAGACCCAATGCAAGTCTGAGCTATGTGACCATAGGAGATACTATATATCTTGAGTCACAATGTCTAGATGAGGTCATGGAATACTTGAGATGAAATTAAAGTGACCTGAACTCAAGAGGAGGCAAACAGCATGCACAACACTCAGACAGTCCCAGTGACTAGGAAATGTCTTCCTAATCAGAAACAATCCCATCTGGGATTCCACATCACCAGCTGACACCTTAGGTCATGGAAATGTTTCTGTGATGTAAAAAATTGTTATGGTTGGGTAACTCCAGTAAAGATTCTGTTTCGAAAAAATCTGAAATAGAGAGCACAATAAATTACATATAACACTATAAGAAAGGGAAGAATCCACAAGCAGACCGCCTGGTTCCTTAACAACACCATGGACTTTTTGAACTTTGACTTTGAGGAGGATGAAGGTGAGAGTGTTGTATGTGTTTTGTTTAAAACAGCAATCACTAAACGAATGCCCTTAGAGCTTTAGCAGAAATCACAATTATCTGTGTATGTATAAGAGCCAAAAATGGAAAGCAGGGCATTGGTGTCTTGATGAAACTCTGAAGTATTCAAGGTTAAGTGAGTCCAGAAACCAACTCTCCTTCCCCACAGCAATCTTTTTCACAAAAAGAAACTAGGAAGTGATGCTCACATGTGCCAGGAATTATAAAGAATCTCAGGTTGATGAAACAGGCAACAACAGTGAGGCTGAGATAGAAGAACCAACCACTAGTATCACCAAACAGGGTTACACACTACCACAACAGAAAGGTTGTCTGGACTGGTAGGACTGGGGGGAGGGGGCAGAATTAGGGAAGAACATCTGTGCAAGGCTGGCACAGTAAAGCAATTGCCTCGGGCAGCAGATGCTATGTAGAGGCAGTGGCAGCTTCTCAGTCATTCCACCTAAGCCTTCTACCTGTTCGGTTTTGCCCCATGGCTTGTCTTGCATCCCTTCACTTGCCTGCTGCCATCTGGTCCAGTGAGGGGACAGTATTGCATCCCTAGTGTTGAAGCAGCATTCAGCTGCCCATCCAGCTGGCTTCTGAATATGGAACCGGGGAAGGAGGTCACTACCTTATCCTTTGCTGCAAAAATTATTGGGCCAACCCTGCTTGGGTGGTCCATTTCGCTTTTCAAAATAAGGGGTTGAACCTAGATGGCTTTTTTTGGATCCTTTATTCTAGATTATTTCATTTCATTTACGAGCCATTCATCCATTCCCAGCACCCACCAAAATCTTTGATTGTAAGTCAAGACAGTTTTGAAGCCCAGTTCATTCTGAATTGTGGTTATCAATTTTGTTATTTATTATTATTATTATTATTATTTATTAAATTTGTATACTGCCCTCCATCTGTAGACCTCAGGGCAGTTCACAACTCAAAAACACAAGATAGAAACACAAAATACATAATACAAGAACAAGAAAGAAAGAAAAACAAACCAATAAACCCAACACACACCTGTCAATGGCCTCGACTAGCCCTCTTTTTTTCCACCCATATCGATACCTGAATGGCTGAACTGGGGATCATTCGTGTCAAGCTTAAATATTGAATAACACTCAAGAAGGTTGCAGAAGTGCAGCTCAGTAACCCAATAAGTGGAAGGAAGAGGTTGAACACCCTGCGCAAAAAAAGCGATTGAATAAAGAGTAACACATTTTTTTTCTTTCCTTCATTTGGCTGGACGAGGTATAGCAACAAATCCCTTGTACAGTTTGAGTTGTCTTAAGGGGCAGTTTTCCAAAGCTGTTTCTGCCTAATTGTAAAATAAATTATGAATTGGAGGTGAGAGAGGTGGAATCACATCTAATAGCATCTAGTTACAAATCTTGCTTCCAGTGCCTGTGCAGAGTGGCATTCATACCATTTCATCTTATTAGAGAACAGCACAACCCCCACCCCCAACCTCCAAAGCCTTCTCTGCCTGATACAAAACACAGCTGGCGTGTCTTCCAAGTTAGCAACACAAGAAAGAGATGAAAGCAGTTGTCATCATTTTAGGTGGTTGGGTCAACAAAATGTGGGGAGCCCAGTCACTGTAAGTGATTGTAGGTGTGAGAAATGACAAACACCAAGAAAGGAGGAGAACCTCATTTGAAATGAGCAACAGCAGACCCATTGCAAGGCGAACATCACAAGACAGCTAGTGGTGGACTTTTCTGGATCTCACAGCAGAAAGCAACCATCAACCTCTGACAGCTTTTGGGTGAGTGCCATGCACACTGGAGAGAAGGGCAAAGATCCATGGCTGGGGAAGGAGAGAGAAAGCTCTTTAAAGCGCTTGGGTTCATGAATGGCTTCACTGATGGGCAACGAGGGCTTCTTGTGTAGTATAATAGGCATAGCAAGGGGCTTGTATTCCTATTGCAGAATGTGTGCAATTAATCTCATTCCAGATGAGTATGGCGAGATGTCAGAAGGCAGCACGTCTGCAGAGATCCTGTCTGTTACTGACACCACTGACAAAGAAGAGAAGTCAAGGGATGAAAATTCTGACACAGACCTTGAGATAGAAGGTGGACTGTTTAGTATCTTGTCTTCCAACCAAACCTTCCCCCTCAGCCTCATAATAACCTTGTAAGATAGTAGTGACTTTGTCGAAGACACTCACTAGTCATGGGCCTGAGACATCTGTATCAGGAAAACATCAAATAAAATGTGAACCAGCCATGTACAAGAATGTGCACCTACATCAACCCTGCAAATGGATTTTCTTTGTTGTATTGGTTTACCTGGTTGATATTGTCTTGAACACAAATAGGATTGATTTAACTATAGATGCAGTGCATATTGTAGTGCAGGCTTGGCATAACTGGAAGGATCTTATGATTCTTTCCTGGAATCAGCGTGAGTTTTGCACATTTGCAAGGCATAAGGGAGAATTTCAGAGGTGTTCAGTTGCCTAATATTTTAGGGGCCATCAGTTTAAACCTTTCCTTAGCGACTGTGCTACTGAAGTCTAGGTCAGGACACGTCTGTTTTCGTTGTAGTGATCACAGGGGAAATGCTATGCCAATCAGACTGGTTTGCTTTTCCAGATGTTGACCGATCATTTGCAACCATAAAGGGTGCAGAACTCTACATAGAGGCTTGCAAGCTGGTAGGAGTGGTTCCTGTCTCGTACTTCATTCGTAACATGGAAGAACCCATCATGAACCTTAACCATCATGGGCTTGGACCCAAGGGAACGAAAGCCATTGCCATTGCTCTGGTTGTAAGTACTTCAAATTAATAGTCCACACTATTTCACATCAAGTTGATAGGCTTTTTCCCAGTTTGGGGAGAAAGAAGATTATTCTTAAATGAAGGAAGAAAGAGGACACTGTCTTATCACTAGATCTGGTTAACTGTACTGCGTAAATGGCAACTTCCCTGTCCCCATATTTCCCCTTCACATTTGGAGCTTAAACCAGAATTGCAATTGTACTGATGTTCTTTGTTTACACGCTGCAACTTGGTCCCACACTGTTTTCCCCATCAGAATCACATTTCCCAGCTCCTGCTAGCCCTGCTAGGGGAAAGGTTGGTACCTGTATTATTAATTTTGTAAACCTAAGAGGTTCTATTTACAACCAAGATGTAAACAAACAAAAAAACAAACAGCCTGTCTTCCTCCCATGGTAAATACTGCCTTCTGTGTGTGTGTGTGTGTGTGTGTGTGTGTGTGTGTGTGTGTGTGATTTTGATCAAAGAATTAAAAAAGGTAAAGAGACCCCTGACCATTAGGTCCAGTCGTGACCGACTCTGGGGTTGCGGCGCTCATCTCACTTTATTGGCCGAGGGAGCCGGGGTTAAACAGGAAACTATCCCCCCTCCACACACACACACACACACACACACACACACACACACACTATCCCTATATAATTCATCTGTCTCCTGTTTATAAATTCTCCCTCTCCCAAAGCTGTTTTTCATCTAGGAGTAAAGATCCCAAAGGTGTCCTAATCTGCTCCTCTGCTTAGCTGCTGTTTAAACTTTAAAAACAAAGCCCATTAGCTGCATTCATCCAATTAACGTTAGCTCCAATGCTAACTGTCCTGGCTTACAGTTCTTTGTGGTTTTGTGATGTCAAGCTGCGAAAACTAATATTTTGAGCAAACAGAGAACTTTTTAAAAAGCCTTTTCTGTCAGTCAGTTCTGCTGATTTCCTGTAGTTCTCTATCCCTCTTTGCATTCTTTAGTCCAACACAACCATCACCCACTTAGAGCTAGAAGATAACTGGATTCTGGGCGAAGGAGCCACATACCTGGTTCAGATGCTGCGGGAGAACTGCTACATCCAGGAGATGGTACCCAATCTTTCCCTGTATGGAGGGTGAAGGGAGTTCACTTACTTGATGAGTTCATTCTTTTTTTGGTATTGATTATTATTGCTATTATTGATGTGCAAAGTGTTTTACAACCTTTTCTTGTTTATCTCTGGAAACTGTTCACTGGCCTTCTCATTTCACAATAATCGCTTACATGTTTTCAATGCATGAAGTCCCATGTTCAGCCCACAACCCTTCAGTTATATGTTCTCGGATATAAGGGCTAGGAAGGACTTAGGTCTGGAACCCTAGAAAACCATCAGAATCATAGTAGTGGATTGATCTATTGGCCAAACCTATTTGGTGTTTCGCAACTTTCTGACTAGTTGCAGGACCTTAGCCAGACCTAGCAGAGTAAACACAGAATCCACGGAAGCAATTGGCAACTTGGCTGCAGACAGGATAGACGAAGCAGGAACCAGGAACTTGTAGTTAGGTGTTTATTATATACAGTGGACTATTTACAGGAACAGAACACAGATCTTTTGCTAGCTCTCTCATACACGACTCACAACTCCTACACTGACACACAGAACTCTGAACCTCTGAACTACTGAACTAACACATTCCAGTTAGTAGGCCATTAATTATCACTCCCTTGAGAGAGCCTGACCAATCAGGGAGAGGTCTCCATGTCTCTGTTATCACCAGGCAGACTTACTTCTTCAGATTGCCTTCTGGCTGTCTGCCAAACCTTAATTGACTCTGTCTGAGTAGCTGCACGTACACAGTTTCCCAACATGATCAGCTTCAGGATTTGGGGAGTCCCTGAGCAAGAGATTGTTGATATACCTCCTTATCTGGTGGTGAGAGCCTGGAGACCATCCCAGGGCCCTCTGCAGAAATGCCATGTGCAGCAGAGCTAAGCCCCACATCAAATTATTTTGAAAGCTAAATTTAGCTTTCTAAAATATACGTATCATTGCCCATATCAGTATTGCCCATAAGTAGCATCTTCACACAGTCTCTTGAGTTCCATGTGTAAGTTCATCCTTTGAATTCTGCATTAGCCCCTAGAATAACATCATACTCCGGGCCCATATTCACACAAATCTGAAAGGCGGCTTATCCATAGATGTGCATTGAAATTGTAAGGGGAGGAGAAAATTTCACATTTTTTTGCCGTCCTGTTTGTGAATACAACAAGTCAGGGCCCAAATACACATGACTTTAAATAAATTAATGCAGTCAACATGCAGGTTGTTTCAAATGCAAATAGGATCTAGAAGGAGGGTATAGTGTAGTAGGGAACTACAGAGTGTGGAGAGTATAAACCTTTCCCTTCTGCCAAGGTCTCACCAAAAGTGCTGCCCCCAACAAATACTCCCTGCTGCTTGCACCAGGAGAGAAGCTTGCATCATAAACAATGAACCCCCCCCCTCCTCGTGCAAACAGCAGGTGGGGATGGACTTTCACCTGGGCCAGTGCAGCAGGGTAAAGGTTAAGATCTCCTTCCACGCATCTTACTATTTCAAAGCTGCTCTCTCCTGCTTCAGATGAAAAATATGCACATTAAATATGCATTTTAGGTGCAATTAACGTTGACATACATATTTATACTTTCTCTCTGTATTTTATTTAATAATACATTTAAATGCATCTTTTGAGATGTTCAAACTGCGGAGAAGTGCATCACAGCATTTGGAGAACAGAAACATCAGCTAAATATTGATCCTCACCAGAGGTGCCGAGTTCTGTACCACAATGGGGGGGGACACCTTCATTGTGTGCAAGATTGGGGGGGGGCTCAGCTCTATCCCCACATATGGGGGGCGGCTAAGCTGTCCTCAGCCCCATAGAGCTGGCGTCTATGATCCTCACATGAATCTGAGCAGTGTATACCATTTCATTTTGTATCTTTGCAAAGGTCCGACTCCACTTTCCTCAATTTGGTGCCCTCCAGATGGTAATGCCAATCAGCCAGTATGGTCAGTGGTGCAATGACATCTGGATAGTACCATGTTGGGGGTAGGCTGGTCACATTCCTCAAACACCTCTTTATTCAGAACAGCTTCATCCTTTTAAGATGTTCGTCTTCTTTCCTTGCCTTATTCCCCTCCCCCCCATGCATTTCAGAATATTTCAAATAATCATCTCAACACAGAAGGAGCTGAAGCTATCTGCAGGATGTTCTACAATAATATTTCAAATATCCGGGCTGTTCAGCTTTCAGGTATGATTTCTACCTCTATAGACACAAGTGGAATTACTCAGCAACACTGATATTTCTGAATACTGTACACAGGAACACATGAAAGTAGCCTTCCTCAACCTGGAGTCCTTCAGATGTTCTGGACTGAAGCTCCTTTCATCCCTCCCTGACCACTGACCACTGACCATGCTGGCTGGGGCTGATGAATGTTGAAGTTCAAAACCATTTGGAGGGCACCAAGCTGGGGAGGGATATTAGACAACAAGGCTGGGAAGACCTGTGCCTGAATTCTTGGCTACTTCCAGTCAGATCAGGCTATACTGGGGCTAGAAGAAGAAGTGAACCTGCAGATTTTCATGTTTTTGTTATAAATGAGTGAGGGTCAAGTGGGACCTGCAACAAAATGTTGCAGTGTGGAGTGCTTCCTATTCATGATGCCAGCCAACCATACCGTTTTCTAAGGGCCTGTCCACATTTCAGCAGTATTTAGCTGTTAGTCCACTTTTACCCCATTTCAATTAGACTGTAGTCCCGACCTGCACATATTTGAATTTGTATATGAGGAGCAATTTTGGTCTTTGCCGTTAATATCAGTAGAAGTTCCCTTTTGTCTCCACCTTCTAATGTTCTGATTCTATTATGTGTTTGTGAATGTGAACGCCATGCATTACATCTGAGTCATTCCAAAGTAGGAAGTCTGTAAGCCCTTTGAAAGGAGCCATGAATAGGGATGGGAAAAGGAGGGAAGGAAATGAGAGAAACAATCTTAAACCTCTGCTTTGTTCTGCATTGTTTTGACGTGTGACATTTGTAATACACAATCCATGTCTGGGGACACATCACACAAGTCAATCTCTACAAAGGAAAACTGTGCATGCAGTGTACTGAGCAACAAGTTCACATAAAGCTATGGTCAGTGCTTTTTTCCTGGGGGTACACAGGGATAAGCATACCCCTCAACATTTTTTAGAAAAGAAAAGAAAAAGCACTGCCTATGGTACATTTATCAGGAGGACTCCAGCTCCAAATGCGGCTGTTTCAGTCATGCACAAAAGATATATGTACTTTGCATGTGTTGTCTATGTGATTTTCCTACATGGAAGTGAAGTCAATGTAGGTAATTGACTCGTGTGAAACAACCCTCTGTTAGCATCCTCTTTTCCTCTTCAGGAAACAACTTTAGGGAAGAGACAGCACTATATTTTTCGGAATCATTAATGGTGAGTAACTTGTGGGCTGGGGGAACTCTGGGAGTCTGTGCAAAAGGCAGTAAGTGAAAGGTTATGATGCACCCTTCAAAGTGAGGGATGGCAATGACCTGTGGCAGCGGGAAGAGAAGCTACTTCATGCCTTGTCTGCTCAAAATCGTTCTCGCCAACCTTTGTTTATTCATGCAGCAGGTGGGAGATGGGACAGAAAAACTGCTGTCTGTAGAAAAGTACGAACAGGCGAATGGCAGGAAGGGAAGAGCCCCTCACTCCGCCCACCTAGTGGTCACCTGATTTTCTTTCATTTTAAAATTGTCATAAGGAAGCCTAATGGAACTGCTTCTCATGTTTAATTTAGCCCTGAGAGGAAATGTGGGTGGCCAGAAAGGTGCTGTGGTAAGAGGTACCATTATATTCCATGCACTGGAGGACTGGGGAGGGAGTATCAGAGAATCAGAGAATAAGAGACCAGAAGAAAAGAGGACGGGGAATATTTTCTTTCATGCTATATCGACAATGTTCTTCTCAAGTAAATGTACTCAGTACTGTGAGTAAAAAGGAAGAAATAGCAGCACACTGTGTTGAGCACAATTTGTTTCAGTCACACACACACACCCACACACACCCACACACCCACACACACCCATACCCATTCTCCACTACAGGGAATGAATTCCTTCATGCTTGTTGACTTCCTCTTGGGTGAAATATTATTGCTGCTGAACTTTCTGTTGTTTTTTGGGGGGTGGGTTTCTTTATGGGTATTGAAATTTTGAAATGTTGAAATCTTAATCAGAAGCAGAACTTTGGGTTAAGGTGTGCATTGAACCAGACACTCAGAGTATGCCAACTTATAAAAATACCTGCCGTGATGTTTCAGAATACCAGTTGCTTGAAACCGCAGGAGGAGATTGTTCTTGCGCTCAAATCCTTCTTGTGACATTCCCACAAGCATCTGAGAACAGGATGCTGAACTATATGGGACAGTGGCGTGATCCATCAGGCTCTTATTTATGTTCTTTTGTCATCACTGTCAGTATCTTGGTGGACTAGGTTGATGCACACCCCAAATGGGTGTTTATGTGCACGACAAGCAAGGATCATTAGATACTACAAATTAGGAAAACGGGATGTCTCAGTCCAGTGCTTGGTCTGAAGGCTGCAACTGAGCTCATAGGTCTGTGCACCATTTCTCCCTACAGGTCAATTACAGGGTGATAGAGCTGGACCTCAGCCACAATGAGTTTGCTGACAAGGGAGGAGAGCAGCTGGGACAGATGCTGGGTAACCTTCTTCATTATTTCTACATGGCTACCTGTGGGACCAAAGAGTTACGTGCTCCCTGCTTCCACAAGCAGGAAGAAGTTCCAAGAGGCAACACTACCTGTTTGGTTTCCTTTTGGAGGAGAGACAGACCCTCCAAGTGTCCCTATTTTCCAGGGACATCCCTGATTTACAGAAGCCATCCTGGTTTCTGATTTGATCCCGGAATGTCCTGCCTTTCCTTAGGATGTCCCAATTTCATTGGAGAAATGTTGGAGGGTATGGAGAGATTGCTGGAGTCTTCTGCTGCTTTTGTAACAGTTGGCTTATTTGCAAATATATAAATATAGCACAGGTGGAAACTAGCACATTAAGCATTCTTAGCAGGCAGCAGATCCACTAACCCATTCATCATTTATTCTGCAAGAAGCCTATTGTGCAATGGCTCCTTCTGAAGCAGTGCATTGGTAAATTTATCATAACCATTTGTTTAAAATGGAAGAATTAAAGAAGACTTTGGGAAAGCTAATATAGCATTCATGTATTGTAATGTTGGTACTCTGCCTTCCAAATACAGTATGATTCCTGACAATTTATAATATCTCTTGACTGTGTAATCCTAGTTTCACCCTTGCAAAACTAGTTCCCAACACCCATAACAAATTACAGTTTCCAGGATTTCTTGGGGGAAGCCAGGTGCTTTCAGTGCTTTAGATGTATGGCGGACTGCCAAAACAAAGAAAGCTAATCAGAAGGAGTTTTTTGTGTAAAGACTGCAAGCTCGCTTCAGTTCTTATACTGAAAACAATTTTTTCGGCTCATAATGTGCTCAGAGGCATTCTGCATCATTTGTTAACTGGCTCAGGTTGATAAATCTTTGAGTTCTAATTTTAAAAAACTTGGAGTGTGTCTGACAAACCTGAAGTCTGCTAACTCCTGCTCTGGAGGCAGAAATGCAAAATAAATAAGCAGCCTCATCATTTCATGGATTTGAGACCATGTGGTGGCCAGGAAGCATTCCATAGGCGCCAAGTCTAGCACCCACAATGCGGGGCTCTGACGCGACTTCCGGTTACCTGAGGCCTCATGAGACCTCTGATGAGACTTCTGGTAGAAACCGGAAGTTGCTTTTGGAGGTCTTGCAAGGTCCTGGATGTAATCTCTATGGCCTCGGAAGAGCCGCTGACCTGCCGACCCAAAGTGACATCCTGACGTCATGTTACATTACAGGTGCCATTGGACACCCATAACCTGGGGCCCAAGTCAGTGCCTCTGAGGCATTCAGTTTACTTCTGGAATAGTGGGTAGCTTTGCCCTTCCCTATTGTGGAAGGAAAAGAAGGCTGGCCTCACCATGAAAATTCAAGCAGTAGTTACCAAGGGTGGCCCTGTCAACTTGCTGTAGTCTTCTTTCTATCAGATATACAGTGGTACCTCGGGTTACAGATGCTTCAGGTTACAGACGCTTCAGGTTACAGACTCTGCTAACCCAGCAATAGTACCTCGGGTTAAGAACTTTACTTCAGGATGAGAACAGAAATTGTGCGGCGGTGGCAGCGGGAGGCCCCATTAGCTAAAGTGGTACCTCCGGTTAAGAACAGTTTCAGGTTAAGATCGGACCTCCAGAACGAATTAAGTTCTTAACCCGAGGTACCACTGTACAACATAATTTTGATTTTTGACTTATTGGACAAATAAGCTTCTAATACTCTTCCTGGGAATAATACCCCAAACTTTTAGAGCATTTCCATTACACACAAACAACACACATTTTTTGGTGTTAAAATGGATGTCAGATATGTGATTTCTAACCAGATAAGAGTTTCCTTGAAATTAAGTCTGGAGCTTACCCCCTTAGCAGAAATAGCATTTTCACAGAACCAATTCAGCATTGTTAATGTTATTAATCCAGCATGAAGGTCAGCGGATGCCTGCAAGAGGCAGATAAATCCATCATTATGATGAGAGCCAAAGGGGGTGGTGGATAGATAGCTTGATATGCTTATGCCTCCGTCAAAATCTGGCTTGGAAACGAAGGCTTGCTTCTAAAAAAAGGATGCGCCATCCCAGCAGCTGTGATGTGGTGCCCTCCACATGTTGCTGAATTCCAACTCCCAGCAGCCCCAGCCACTACGGTGGGAGTTGTAATCCAGCAACATCTGAGGAACACCAAATTGGCTACTTCTGTGAACCAAGAGGGAAAGCTTCTGGGAATGTGTAGGAATCCAGCTGTTTTCTCAGATCTCTTTCCACCACAGCTCTGCAGAGGCACAATTGGGTCTCAGAATTAGAATCACCTTAGAAACTCTTGACTGATTATGTTTCAGTGTATCTGTGTGTGTGTGTGTGTTTACGGTACACACACACACACACACACACACATAGTGGTACCTCTGGATGCCCCGTTTACATCCTGAAGCAAACGCAACCCGCGTCTGCGCATCTGCACGTGCACGGGTCACGATTCGCCACTTCTGTGCATGCACGTGATGTCATTTTGAGCACCTGTGCATGCTTGAGCAGCGAAGCCTGGAAGTAACACGCTCCGTTACTTCCAGGTCGCCGCGGAGCGCAACCCGAAAATGCTTAACCTGAAGCTACTTCAACCCGAGGTATGACTGTACTGGTTGCCCCTTAGAAGTCTGGCCGTAGAAGTCTGCCCCTTCAGAAGGTTGCCCCTTAGAAGTCTGGCCACATCCTTGGGAAAGAACCGTCACTGTTAACAACTATATGTCATGACTGTATCATTGCTGCTGAGGCATTTGCAGGGAGTGGGGAAGGCAGAAGGTTGAAGGGGCAGGAAGGTTTTATTGTGAAAGGCAAAGAAAAACCCTCAGCCACTTCATATTTAATGGCAAGAACACCCTCCCCCAACAAAAAAAATCTTGTGAAAAGCAAAGGAAAGCCCTCAGCCATTTCATATTTAATATCAAGAACCGACCTGCCCCCAAATATGAACCCCACCACCCCTGAAATGTACAAAAATCCCGGGGCCGTCCTAATTATGTCAATGCAAGTCTGGGATCATCACAGACCCTCCTCCAAAGAGACATTTATTTTCACCCACCCCAATCTTTTGCATCCTCAGCAAGTTATTTTCTTTTTTTTCTTTCTCCTCAGCCAACAATGAATCGCTGGAGGTTCTGAACCTGAGTTGGAATCACCTGCGCATGAAGGGGGCTGTAGCCCTGAGTGCAGGCCTCAGGGTAAGACTCCATTGGGCCTCACCCTCGCGGATCCTGGGGAGAGGATCCCGGGAGCAAGGCGAGGCTGGAGACCAATTCAGGAATAATGTCTGAACAGGGCTGGCGTGTGGGGATGAAGAGGCAATGGTGGAAAGAGGCCTGTGGTGATTAAGAGCAGCAAACAGGGTGCCCTTGCTGCTCAAAGTACCTTTTACTGCCCCATCTCATAGATGGTTGGGGTGGCGGGGAGAGTGCTGTTGTCCTCGGGTCCCTCTTTCTGGTTTCCATGGGCATCTGCTTAACCGCTGTGAGAACAGGATGCCAGAGTAGATGCACTATTGGCTTCATCCAGCAGGCTTGTCTTATGCTCAGCGTGGCAGCAAAATGGGCATGCATTGGGAGTTGGCACATGTGCTTTTTTCCTGGGGGGACGCAGGGGTACGCATACCTCTAAACATTTTGTGAATCTAACCGGAGAAGAAACTCAAAATGTTAAAATTTTTAGTTTCTTCTCTAGCACAGTGAATTGTCAGTTCCATTGAATAGCACGTTGATTGGTCAGTTTCGTTGTTACCACCTCCTATGGCAGCTTCATTTCCTGTCATGATGTTTCCTGAGTCTCAGACGGAAGCGAGCGTTTAATGTGTGAAGCAGTGTGGAATGTGGATGTGTGTTGTTTTACTGATGAAAATTTGGCCTCATTGAGGGGCAGTATTTCAATACGAGTCGGAAAACAACTGTGAGCTGTCAGCTGTGTAATATGAGACAATGCATGTTCTTCGTACTTTTGTCCATTTACTGTATTTATTTTTCCCGGTTTGAACTATAAAATAGCGATTCACTTGAGTCAAAATGAGAGTACCCTTAAATATTTTTTTAGGGGATAAAAGCACCTGGTAAGGCAGTACCATACCCACACCATCCAACTTTTTCAGATAAAAAACCGGGATGAGCGACATTCAGGACGTGCTCCTGGGCAAGTCACGTGACCTGTGCCACTATCTCACACCAAAAAAGCTTTTTTTGGGGGGGGACAAGGTAGCGTGTGATACTGTGGCACCCAAAAGAGCCACTGTGGTCTCGCTTGAAAAAACAGGATCCCCCCTTTCCCCCCCCCCCGGGACACTTCGTGGGTATGCCGTACCTACCTTGCTGCACACTCCAGGCGAGGCCCCTCCAAGTCAACCCACATTCCAGTATGGGCCAAAGTCCAAATTGGGCACTATTATTTATTATTTTCAAACACTTTTATACCCCGCCAGTTTATCTTTTAGAAGATTTCAAAGCAATGTACAGCAGTGATTTTTTTTAAAAGCATAACTAAAACCACAACCCACGAGCTTGGAATATAAACTAGCCCTGTGAGGAAAATTCTGGCTGGTGGGTTATAAGCTGACACAATTGTCTGGCACCGCTAAAAGGATTAAAAATAATAATAAAATCACTGGTGTTTGGGCAGGCACCAAGAGGAAATCAAGTTACTTTATTGTTTGGTGGTGCTATTAAGGGTACAAGCTAGATACCATTATGTGAAAACTGGCACTGAAGGAGCAGACAGGATTTTGTGACTTGCAGCTGATCCTAAAGGAATTTTGGAAGAGCCATTCACATTGTAATAAACTGGACTTTAACCATCAGAGAGCTTTACAGTGCCATCCTCAGCATGTCTTCTTGGAAGTAAGCCCCTCAGTTGGTACCCATCTGTCTCGGGAGACAATGGAGGAGTGTGCCTTGGTGGGGGGAAAGGTGTGTAAAGTCAAACCTTTGGGAGTTACAGCGCCTGCTGTGGCTATAGGTAGTGATATGAGAGAGACATGGTTTGTTGCAGCTGGGCAGATGAAGGTGTCTGTTTGCACTCCCTTGGCGTTCCTTGTCTCTGTGATCCTCCTGAAGAGTTCTATTTTTATTTCTATTATGTCTCCAGAACTGGTTCCAGGGTGATTTACAGGGTTAAAAAGAACATATACATGAAACCACAAATAAATGTTAATTTCTCCTCTCTCTTTCTCTTTCTGGAGGCCAATGGAGCATTGAAGGTACTGGACCTTTCATGGAACGGTTTTGGGAATGAGGGTGCTCTGGCCCTTGGGGAAGCCCTCAAGGTCAACAATGTGCTAAATGAGCTGGACATCAGTTGCAACCATATCAACAATGAAGGGACGTTAAAGTTGTGCAAGGGGTTAGAAGTTAATGGTACCCTTAGAATCCTGAAGGTAGGATTTTATTTTCTGAGCTGGTTTGGAGCTTGGCAGCATATGGTATATGAATGATGTTTTGTTTTTGTAAATTGTTTATTCAAAAATATTTCTAAACCACTTAATTTTTTTTAAAAAAGTCTAAGTGTTCAACAACCCTACAAGTGGACTTAAAGAAACTAGAACAATATCATAAAAGCAGACGTCAAATGGTACAAAGTCCAGCCTATTGATCAGGGAAAGCCAGCAGAGAAAGATACGTCTTTACAAGATGTTGGGAGCAAATAATTGATGATGCTTCAGGTATAGCTGAAGGAAGGGCATTCCAAACTGGAGAAAACGTGTTAAACCGAAAGGTTTTTTTGTTGTTTGTTAGAGGAAAGGCTATGTCTACATCTACAGTTCTCTAATCAGGCGGACATGAAATTAAAAATGAGAAACTCAGTGGAAAAAGTAAAGAAGAAATATCTCTGCCCCTCCCCCACATTATATAGTGATTAGGCTTTGCCCTGACTAAATTATTATTGTTCACTTTAAAGATCTGCTTATATTTACTGTTATGATGTAGTAGATATAATTGGGACAAGTTATTTATTTATGAATGCACTTTCATAAAAATATATAGCAAAGTGCAAACTATAAGAATAAAATAAATAAAAACATCAATAAAACATCAATAAATATACGGTAAATACAGTACATACTGATTTGTTAAAATTTTCAGGCAGTCCAATGTGCCACTGCTGCTCCCACCTCCCAGTCCGCATACCATGGATGGCAATAGATAAGCAGTGCGTTCCACTGCCCTTAGTCCTGTCACTATAATTCCCATTTCTCAGATCAAGAACTGAGGTAAAGCGTTTATGTATTGCCACACAATATCCATGTCAGAACTGGAACCATCCCCGACCTTTCAACTCAGTTCTTTAACCTTAGGACTACTGATGGTGCATTCCTTTCAAGCAAGTGAAATCTTTCCTGTCTTCAGATCATCTCTGATTTCTTTTCCTTATAGATGTCCCACAATCCCATTTCAGTAGAAGGCGCCATTGCTCTCGTCTCATGTGTCAGAAAGAACACAAGCACCAAAATGGAAGAAATCAATATTTCGGTAAGATGCTAAGGGAGAGTTCAGTAGCCCTCATAATTCATAATGCTGAAATCCTGCCTAGGCACAAATGCAGACAATTCCAGCAAGAAAGAAAAGTGTGAGGCATCTGAAGAAACTGGTGTGGCTGCATAAGGAGCTTACAGATGAGCTGAGATTTAAGAAGGGCATCTATTAAAAAATGGAAGAAAGGGGAAATCATGAAGGAGGAGTATACACGAGTAGCCAACAGTTGCAGGGAAACGGTCAGGTGGGCCAAAGCTCAGAATGAACTCAGGCTTGCAAGAGAAGTTAAAAATAATTTTAAAAGGTTTCTTCAGCTATGTTTGAAGCAAGAGGAAGAGCAAGCAAGTAGTAGGTCCTCTGCAGGGAGAAGACGGAGAAATGCTAGGAGGTGACAGAGATAAGGCGGAACTCCTCGCCACCTACTTTGCCTCTATGTTCACCCAAGAGGAAAGTGCCCAATCTGGTGATAACAGAATAAACAATGCAAGGAGGCAGCAGCAGCCCAAGATAGGAAAAGAGGTAGTAAGGGAACACCTAGCTACTTTAAAAGAATTCAGATCTCCAGGGCCTGGTGAGCTGCACCCAAAAGTACCAAAGGAGCTTGTGGATGTAATCTCAGAGCCTCTGTGTATAATCTTTGAGAATTCTTGGAGAACAGGTGAGGTCACTGCAGACTGAGGGCAGGTAAATGTTGTCCCCATCTTCACAAAGGAGGGGAAAGAAGACCCAGGTGACTACCAACAAGTGAGCTTGACATCAATACCAGGAAAGGTCTTGGAACAGATAATTAAACAGTCAGTCTGTGAGCACTTAGAAAAGGATGCAGTGATTACTAACACCCAGCATGGCTTTCTCAAAAACAAGTCATGATAGACAAATCTCATTTCTTTTTTGATAGAGTTACCAACTTGGTAGATCAAGGGAATGCTGTGGACATAGTGTATCTTGATTTCAGTAAGGCTTTTAACTAAGTCCCCCATGATACTCTTCTGGGAAAGCTGGTACAATGTTGGTTGGATGAGATAACTGTTAGATGGATTTGTAACTGGTTGGCTGACCAAACCCAAAGAGTGCTCACTAAGGTTCTTTGTCATCCTGGAAAAGTGACAAATGAGAAGCCACAGGGTGTTGTCCTGGGTTCAATCCATTTTCCATTTGTGCTGCATCTTTTTAGATTATAAACCTGAGGACAGGGGCTGTTTTTAGTGATTGGCAAATCACACTGGAGGCCTTTTTTGGATAAATAGCAGTGTGTGTGTGTGTGTGTGTGTGTGTGTGTGTGTGTGTGTGTGTAAATAGCAAAGTAAACAAAAAGTTAGAAGGGGGCAGAATCAATTATGCAAAATGAGAGCATTTGTTCTATTCATAGAATTCAATTTTTGGATTGCCTGGGCCCCAAATTTTGATTGAGATGGATTGCACAAGGTACTCTCAGCCTATCCCCTGGACATTGAAACCAACCAGACAGGCTCCAGGGTTGTCATCCCATTGTAACCGATTACAGTGGAACCTCAGTTGTCGAACGTAATGCGTTCCAGAAGCCTATTTGGCTTCTGAAACATTCGAAAACTGAGGCTCAATGGGGCAGTCAGCAAGCCCCATTGAGAAAAAAGAAAAAAGAGAAGCCATTCAGCTTCCGAGACACGTTTAAAAATGGAACCATTCACTTTCGGTTCGTTGGAGTTTGGGAGCCGAAACATTTGGCTTCTGAGACATTTGGCTTCCAATGTTCCACTGTATATGGAAATGGGATCTAGCCTGTCTGCCCTAAATCCAATCTGCTCTGCTTTAGAATGTGCTGGTGAATGAAGGCTTCATCAGGTTGCTGGATGTAGTCTGTGACATACGGCCTGAACTAGATGTTGTCTATGGAGGGGTTGGAGGCCACGTTGCCCATAAGATTCCACCACGGCCAGATGCAATGAAGCTGATTCAGGTGAGGTCCTCTTCTCGCATTTTTGTCATGTCAAAGAGAGAGAGAGAGTTTGCTTCTCTCTGGGTAGCAGTGGAGAACCCGTGGCATTCCAACAATGATTAGGCTCCCATCAAATGGAGTTCAGTAACTGACAGGCCACAGGTTTCCCATTCCTTGCTTAGTGGCCTTGCTGCAAAGTCAGGCTTTTCAAACAGTGCATCCACCACTGGTTATTTACAGACTGCACATCTTATCTCAAGGCTGCACTTGTACTACAGAAACACTGCATTACCGGAGAGAGCACACCCCTTAAAAGCCATGCTTTTGCTGCTCATCAAAATGAGGTTACTTAGGGTTGCCATACGTCTGGTAAATCCCGGACATGTTCTCTTTTGGGGGGCCAACATGCCCATCCATGGGGAATTTTTACATTTTAAAGGAAATGTACGGGGGTTTTCATTTGTTTTTGGCACGGGTGCAAGCCACGGCTGCTGTCACCCCGACCTTGCTTCCCTCATCTCTCCTCTAGAGCAATGTTATGAAGTGTGTAGTTTGCATGCAAGCTTGCAGTTCTGACATGCAACCTGATTCTCAGTTCTAGGGAATTTTTGATGTTGGAACCTGGATGTACTCAAAAGTTGGGCACCACAAAAATTAACAGACAACAGAGATACATCAAAAGTGGATGGATGGATTCGGCTTATTGTCTCAAAAAAGAGAATTAGCACTAAAATATTGTTAAACGTCAGAAAACAGCACACTTACACTAGCCTTGGTTTAAAGGTAAAGGTAAAGGGACCACTGACCATTAGGTCCAGTTGTGACTGACTCTGGGGTTGCAGCGCTCATCTCGCTTTATTGGCCGAGGGAGCTTCCGGGTCATGTGGCCAGTATGACTAAGCCACTTCTGGCGAACCAGAGCAGCGCACGGAAACGCCATTTACCTTCCCGCTGGAGCGGTACCTATTTATCTACTTGCACTTTGATGTGCTTTCGAACTGCTAGGTTGGCAGGAGCAGGGACCGAGGAACGGGAGCTCACCCTGTCGTGGGGATTCGAACCGCCAACCTTCTGATCGGCAAGTCCTAGGCTCTGTGGTTTAACCCACAGTGCCACCCGCGTCCCTTAGCCTTGTTTTAGAAAAGTTTAAAACCAAAATGCCTTTTCGACATAACCCTTCACTGCCCAGAGTGGCTGCAGCAACCCAGTCAGATGGGTGGAGTGCAAATAATAAAAATACTATTATTAAAGGTACAAGAGACCTTTAATAATAATCTGGCCATGCTACACATAAACCAGCTTCCTAGTCAACTCCTGTTTTCAAAAGCATGCATTCTCTACAAGACTCAGTAGATGGTGCTATTGAATGGGAAAATAACTTTACAGTACTTCTGGAGAGAAAGCAATTACTTTCCAACCTGACCTACCATAATACGTAAGGGTGGCATACTCCAGGTGTTAGGGACTACAACTCCCATCATCTCTGATCATTGACCACACTGGCTGAGCCTGATGGGAGTCCATCAGCTTTGGGAGGGTACCACATTGGCTATCACTCCCCTACATTTTGAGGGCATAAACTGCTGTGCTGACACAGAGGTTCACAGGAGCCAATATAAGACTCTCCTCCTAGCAATATGAAGACCCAGGCCTGGAGTCAGCCCAAATCTTCTTTCCACAATTCTGAAATATAAACACCTTAAAATTTGACTAGATTACTCACAGCTTAGTTGCATTGTCTTCGATAGTGCTTGCTCCCAAGTAAATGTGTATTGGGCTGCAGGCTAAATTGCATGCGGCAGTGTATCAAGTTGCGAGAGACCTCTTCCGGTATCTTTTGATTTTGCAATTTATTACCAGGCCTTTTGAGTCGATAGCAAACATTTCAATAATAAATCCCATGGTGATAAAATAACCCAAGAGAATAAAACAGTGCAAAAATAATCTTAACTTCTTCCTCAGCACTGACATATTTATAAAAATCAACACTGTTCTTAACTGCTTAAAAGAGAAAATAGAGCTGGCCTGATGAACATCTCTGGGGAGGGTATTCCATTAAGTGAGTGCCACAACTAAGAATCATGTACTAATCTTAGGGCCCATCCGTACCATCCGAAATACCGTTTAATGCCTTGAATATTCCTGCAATGGGCAGGTTTAAGTAAATGGATGATATTTTCAGTTAATAAAGAGCACCCAATAACATATTTGTATTGTAAATGCTTAAAGATAAACAGGAAGGAAGCAAAAGAATAAGCAGAATCGCTTCAAGAGTGGTTCTATCTAGTGGTTTTGAGCAACAGAAAATGTAGCCTCTGCATCAGAAGTCCAAGATGTAGATATAATCTGAATATATAAGAAAAACAGTAAATGCTATCCAGGGGAGAGGGATCAGACTTGTGGTCTCACATAGGTTTCTTCTATTTTCTATTCCTAGAACTATTTAGATGAACACAAGTTGAGGCTCTGGGACTTCTTTAGGAATATGGACAAATATGGCAACATGAAGATTCCCGTGGCAGAGTTTCGAAGAACCATGATGCTGGTATGTCCCAGAGGCCGACTATACTAGAATTTTAAAGAGATTTGATTGGTTTAAATTATCACGGATTCTCTCAAAGACCCCTGGGTCTTGCAAGTTCACTGGGGTGTCTGCAATATTGGCTGGGAGGACTTCAGCCCTTTCCCAGAACTGCAGTTCCCATGTTTTCCATTGTTGGAAAGTGAAACAGTCAAGCAAGTATGGAAGCAATTTAAACGTTTAGTGTAGACAGATGAAAACAAGACTCATTTTCTCACATTGGTACATCTCTAGCTACTCCAAGTACCTACCACAAACCCTGTGGTTTATTGTTACAATATTTCATTTTCATCCTCGTAAGTATTGCTGGTACAGAGAAGCAGATGGGAAGAGAGACAACTGGCTCATCAAACAGTCAGGAAAAGCTGTGACATTTGTTGGCAGGGGTCGTGGCTGTTTAGAGAACGAGACGAGTTGCAGAGATTGAGCCATCTGAACACATAACTCAAACAAATCAGTGTGGATGCGCTGAAACATTATTGGCCAAAGTCTAGATTTGAGATTGGCAATGGGCAGGGGCGGGTGCTGAAATTAAAATTCAGAATTGGTAATGGACATAAATATTGGAAGTGGTGAGCGAGGGTCATGAGAGTTGGGTTTTCCACCTTGTGTTTCAGGCCAGGAGTGCCAGCTTGGCTCCCGGGGCCGTGGGTGCCATGCAGTGTGCATGGCCATGGCACCGAAATTTGTGGGTTCCCAGCCCCTTCATGGGAAATTTTGTGGGTGCTTGGGTATCCGGGGCCCAGGGAGTTGGCACCTATGTTTCCGGCAGTTTGAGGTGTATTATTATAAACAGGATGTGTTTAGAGATGTTGAGTTAGGAGGAGTCAGCAGGCTCTGTCTGTTGCATGGTCCCTTTCTCAGCAGATAAGATAGGGAAGAGAGGGAGGTGGGCACTATTACCTTACAGCCACCCAACAGAGGAAGAAATATATCAGGAGGGCGGAACTTCTGTCCCTCCAGATGTTACTCGACTCCAGCTCTGGCAAAGCCAGTGGCCAGGCATGACGGCAGTTGTAGTCCATCCACATCTGAAGGGTCACAGGTTCCCCATCTCTGGAATATGTAACTGTACTCCATTTCAATAATGTTATTCTTCTTGTATCACAAGCAAAAAAAGATTCCCTTGGACCGGGTACAGGTTGTGGAGCTGGTGCGTAAGCTAGACCAAAGCAGGACGGGGTACGTGGACTACAGGTGAGTAAACGGTAGCCAGATTTGGCCTGTTACTCTATTCTCTTCTCAATTTCTGGTTTTCCGGCAAGAGATCAAATAGATCTCTCAACCAGGCCACAGGTCTGCATTTTCCTATGGCATGACTTCCAAAATTATTCACCTTTTACAAATCTGCTTGGGAAAGGGTGCACACACTGACCTCCATGGCGGTCTTTTGAGTTAGGAGGAGTCAGCAGGCTCTGTCTGGACAACAAGGAAGGACAACAAGGAGGGAGCCAGTCTAGCTTCTCTAGGGAGGGAATTCCAAAGTCTGGGAGCAGCCACTGAGAAGGTCTGAAGGTGCTAAGGCTTGGACTTTGATGGTCTCTAAGGGGTGGGACGCGGGTGGCGCTGTGGGTTAAACCACAGAGCCTAGGACTTGCCGATCAGAAGGTCGGCGGTTCGTATCCCCGGGATGGGGTGAGCTCCCGTTGCTCGGTCCCTGCTCCTGCCAACCTAGCAGTTCAAAAGCATGTCAAAGTGCAAGTAGATAAATAGGTACCGCTCCAGCGGGAAGGTAAACGGCGCTTCCGTGCACTGCTCTGGTCCGCCAGAAGCGGCTTAGTCATGCTGGCCACATGACCCGGAAGCTGTCTAAGGACAAACGCCAGCTCCCTCGGCCAATAAAGCAAGATGAGCGCCGCAACCCCAGAGTCAGTCACGACCTAATGGTCAGGGCTCTCTTTACCTTTACCTTTAAGGGGTGGGCAATCTTGTATGCTTCTTCCTTGTTCTTTCCTTTGTAAATTCAGTCTCTTCATTGTTGTTGTTGTTGGTGGTGGTGGTGGTGTTAAAATTATTACCTTCCCTTCAGTAGCATGTCCCAGGATTGGTTACAACAATTTTAAATGTCAGAATTAAAAACAGTTAATATACTGTCTTTGGCCTCAACACTTCCTAAGAGCCTGAATGTAGATTCATTTCTAAAGTGATAATAGAACTGTTTTAGTGATAATGCTATATGCTAAGGTTTCCCAAACTTGGGCCTCTAGCTGTTTTTGGACTACAGTTCCCATCATTCTTGACCACTGGTCCTGCTAGCTGGGATGATAGGAGTTGTAGTCCAAAAACAGCTGGAGAACCCTGCTATCGGGTTTATTGTTCGGACAGCTCGCAACTTAATGGCCAGCACATATTGCTTCCAGCCTCTGGCAGGCTGGTTATGTGCCTTCAGCATCATGTGCAGGACTAAGCCTTCGGCACACAGCCACACAGGGGGTAATTATGTGCCCGAAGCCGATTTCTACATGTGATGCGGTGGATAGATCTGACTGTGGGTTTGAAAGCAGCACATGCAAAAATACTCTTGCTTTGTTTGTTCTGTGCCCAGCGCTAAGTTCTTTTCAAAGGTCTGTTGGGGGATGAGGGAGAAAAAATCAGGTATGCATCCCATATCGTGTGAGCAAAAGGTAGCTTGTACAAGGCTCTGTTCTCCAATTTTGGGCAATTTCTCCCTCCCACTGCAGCCCTATATGACATAGCTCACCATGTTTGGTAGGCCCCCCGGCCTCCTGAGATGCTTTTCAGGGGGTAAAGGGAGCAGCATGGGGTGGGGGTGGAGAGAGTGGAAGGGAAAGGAAAGATCCATTGTGCAACATTCTGCTTGTGCAACACTGGATAGAACTCTCAGTAAACTTTCTTTTTTCAAAAAACAAATCCTCACTGTTTTTTTCCTTCGCCTTTCAAATTAGTAATTATAAAGTTGAGGAGCCAGAAAAGAAGCCTGAGGAGGTGGAAGAGGAAGAAGGCTAATCAGGTCCAGGAGTGAGGTCAGCCAGTGAAGGATGGAAGGATAAGTTGTGTCAGGAAGCTAAGAAACATGTCCTGTGGGCTGAGGGAGATGTACTGGAAGTGGGGAAATAATCAAAAGTCTTGACTTTAGACCGTAAAATATACTGAAATATCAACTGATTTCCAAAAGAAAGAAATACAGAATCTAAAATATTCTAGGGAAAACACAGTACAACCCCCCCAAGCAGTGCATTTATGATTATTATTATCGTTACATTCCCATGTGGAACTGTGTATGTCATGGTCTCCAGTTAGACATTCCTGTCACGATTCTCCCACCTAGGCTCATGCCATTTTGTGAAATCCTTTTCGTTTCAGACATCATAATCTAATATGCTTCATATTTATAGCGTGGCAGAAGCAGTTTTAGTGCTTTCTAGATCAGGAGATGAAGAGCCTCCAGGTGTTGACAGACTCCAGTTCCCATCAGCCCCAGCCAGCATTGTCAATGGTCAGAGATGGTGGGAGTTGTAGTCCATCGGGAGTGCGCTGGTTCCCCATCTCTGCTTGAAACAAAGACACATTTTTGCTGTTTCTGAAGCAAGCTCTTTTAAAAATTAGTCTGGCAAGTGATGAATAACACACACACTTCTCCCATTGTGTGATTTGTTTGTATTTCAACCCTTCAGCAGCCATGCACTTTTCTGCCATACAGCTCTGATGTGGAAGTAAATCCATATTGACAGTCAAATGGAATCTACACCCATTAAAAACCCGCTGCGAAATGTTTTTTAATTTTTTTTTGAAAAAATATATTGAATTTGCCATAGCTCACCATCACCATCTAGTGTCACATTTGTATATTGCACTTTACAATACAGCTGAGGCCTGAGAATGGGCAATGCTGGGCTTGGTAGACAAATAGTCTGACTTGGCATAAGGCAGGCACTGATGTACTTATGCTCCTAAATATTTGTATTCATTAAGATAGTATGCATAATTGTAGACTAAAAGCGAAAACATTAAGATACTTCAAATTGCTGTGATTTAAGGATGAAGAGTAAGTGTAAAAGTTCCAATCAGTCTGCCTTCCTTGCACACTGAGTTTCTGTTTCTTTCAGAAGAGTGAATTTTAGCAGGTACAATATTTGCTTTATCTGCATAAATTTCCACTCCTACATGACTATGGGCTGTTTGTCCCTCCGCTTTCCCCTGGAAAAACCCACACTTTAGTGCTGAATCGGAACAAATGGCAACCGGGTTTTTTGCAGATTGCCCATTTGTTCCGATTTAGCACTAAAGAGGGAGTTTCTGGTGGGAAGTGGTGAGGCAAAGGCAAAACCCATGCTCAGAACCATGCTTTCTAGACACAGGACAGGCAGAAGTGGGGATAAGCCTTAAGAAAGATTTGGAGGTTGTCTTTTGTGCTTCAGATTACTCCAGTCAGCACATTTTGAGGCATGCCTGTGGGATCTGGACAAATTTCTCAAAACAGCTGAGGCTTCCTAAGGAATTTTGCTCTTCTTCAAGAGCTGAGATCCTTCTCTTGCTTCACTGCATGACAAAGGAGATTAGCTGTATTGCAAATTGCAAGGCACTGTTGTTTTGCAAAGTAGCAACACTGGGCTGTGTGATCTGCAGTGCCTCCCTTCTCAGTATTTTGCAGGAGGAATTATCATAATGTTAAGTTTGCACAAATAAAGCGGATTAAAGTGCTCTGTTAAAGTGCAACAAAACCCCCTCTTTTTTTAAAAAAAAACCACACCACCGACTTTTTGTAGTTTTGAAAGAAACAGAGAAATACATGGAAAACTCTGAAATGAATGAATGGATGTACAAACACTCCACAACAGTATTAGGATGAATGCAGAATGAATGCTCATTGTCATATAACCACCCTGTAAACAAAGCAGAGGAAATGTGCAATAAAGACCAAACATAGTCTAACCACCTTGTAAGCTTTGTGTAAGCAAATCAGGTTGAAATGCTGCATAAACAGGTCATCTGGATGAGCCCTTAGCTAGAGATACAGAGAACCGTTGAGCGGCTGAGTCACCATGTCAAAAGTTTAAAGGTGAGTAAACTGAGTTCAGGGATGCGGGTGGCGCTGTGGGTTAAACCACAGAGCCTAGGGCTTGCTGATCAGAAGGTCGGCGGTTCGAATCCCCGCGACGGGGTGAGCTCCCGTTGCTCGGTCCCTGTTCCTGCCAACCTAGCAGTTTGAAAGCACGTCAAAGTGCAAGTAGATAAATAGGTACTGCTCTGGCGGGAAGGTAAACAGCGTTTCCGTGCGCTGCTCTGGTTCGCCAGAAGTGGCTTAGTCATGCTGGCCACATGACCCGGAAGCTGTACGCCGGCTCCCTCGGCCAATAAAGCGAGATGAGCGCCGCAACCCCAGAGTCGGCCACGACTGGACCTAATGGTCAGGGGTCCTTTAAACTGAGTTCATGTGAGGCTGTTTTAGAGGAGCCCAAGATGCTTCTTGTGCAGATCCAGCCTTTAGATGAGATTTACCATAGTTTTCCGTGTATAAGACAATTTTTTTGTTATAAAATAATGTTAGAAATTGGGGGTCATCTTATACACTTATAGTACAGAGGGGGGGCCGGGCGATTGGTTCCAGCCGTGAGCAGGAGATTGTCGGCAGCGATTTGGCGGGTGATTGGTGGCTGTCGCAAGGGCTGCTGTCGATTGGCTGCTGCTGTGGCAAGTGGGCGGGTGATTGGTGGCTGTGACAAAGCCTGTTGATGATTGGCTGCCACTGTGGCAACTGGGCAAGCGGTTTTTGGCAAGCACCCCCACACACACAGAAAAGCTGAACAACTCTGGACAATCTCCCCCCATTTTCTTAATTTGGAGTCCCCCAAAATAGGGGTCGTCTTATACATGGGAAAGTATGGTAATTCTTGACAGAATGACCAAGTTCCATAGCAGTAGTTAATCCAGTAAAAGGCAGGTCTGTAACAGATATATGACTCTGTGATTCTATGAAATTTGTGCAACCATTTCTTTCTTAATACAGGGTACTTTGAATCTCACCATTGCCCCTCTTCAAGAATATGATATTATACAAGTTTGATAATAAGAAATGTGGCACACTGATAGTTCACAGTCTTTGAGTAAGCTAAGGCAAAAGAAGAGTCTTAAATCATTGAAAATATTTTTATTCGGTGGGTTGGGGGGAAGCAAATGCAAAATAAGCTCAGGCATATAAGAAAATACACACCAAAATAGCATGCTGACTTAGCTAAAACTGTGACTTAGCTAGAGGATGAAAAATGCTTTGTCAGGACTAGATAATAAGTTTCCATAGTTATAAAAGAAGTTGCTGTTCCGTTTGCAGGTTGGCTTCTTAATCGCAGAGAACAAAGCGAGCCCAGGAGGACTGTATATTGTACTTATTTCAAACATCTGAACTGGCTCTTGGTTTCCCGGGTTCAAGGATGACGATCCAATCAAAGGGCTGTTCTTTCTTTAAAGGCTTTATCCAGCCTCTGTAGATGGAGAGAAAGAAGGGCAGGAGCGGAATAAAATTGATGCATTGGCTAACTCTCCTGGGAAACCAAACTTCTTTTAAAATCCTAATACGAAATGTTATGTGCAGCAGACTGCATTATTCCTCTGTTCTGTACAGTGCCTGGCATCCTGTTTGTTTGCACATGTAAAAGCATTCTCTCAAAGCTTTCACTTTGGCCAAAAGGGGTCTCAGAGCTGCTTAGAAGCTCAGTAGGGAGACAGTCCCTACCCTGCCCTCAGGCTTACAATCTGAAAGAAATGACACACTTAAAGAAAAATAAATGGGGAGGGAAGAGGGGAATGCAAGCTTAGGCAACCAGGTTAGAGTTCTTACGCAGCAGCAGCAGCAGCAGCAGCAGCAGCAGCAGGGGTGTCCACCAGCTAGGACAGAAAGTCAGGTCTCTGTGCCCTCCAGATTTAAGTACATACTAGTATTTTAGGTTTGCACAGTTAAAGTGCATCAAAACACCCTGTTGCCTGAGTGCAACAAATCCACTTTAAAAACAACACACAGACTTTTTGCAGTTTGGAAAGAGACAGGGAAATGCATTGAAAAGTGTCAGATGGACAAATGATTGATGGGAGGGCTAGAGATGGGAAGGTCTGGGAAAAACCCGGAAAAACCCGGAAAAATTGGGAAAAGTCCAGGTTTTTCCAAAGCTGTTTTTCCCCCAGGAAAATGGTGTGTGTGTGTGGAATATTCAAACTATATCAAACTGTGTGTTGTTTTTTTTCATTTTTTCTGGAAAAAAACAGCTTTGGGGGGAAATGGGGGGGAAATACCTGTCCCCCCCCCAATTTTTCCGGTTTTCCCCCAGGCCTTCCCATTTCTAGGGAGGGTGCGTAGACACACCACAAGCAAATCAGAATGAATGTTCCTTGTTGTGTAACCACCCCATAAACAAATCATAACAAATGTTTAGTAAGGAGTGCACATCATCCAGCTGCTACTTAAGCAAATCAAGAAGAATGCTGAATAAACATGTCCCCTGGAGAAATGATATGTCTGTTTCACACTCATATCCAGGACTGCCAGTCTATTGCAGTCTTACACACCAATGATACCACTTTCCCCAGGGAGGTGGGATGTGAACACCTGATTACCAGATGACTCTCTGCTTCCAGAAGGCCCCATCTATTGATAGAAATCTTCTTCGCAACAGTTGCATGGTTGACTACTTTGCCAGTGCCATCAGGATGATCTCCAGCAGTCCTGCTGGTTCTATCATCACTCTCCTGAGCAGACTTTAGTTTTGCAATTATAGACAGGACTGGGAGTGAGCTCATCCAGACTAACCCTCCAACTGCAAAATAGTATCCTAGTAGAAATACTAGACAGGTTTGGTAACTGCAGAAAAGAAGCACTTGAAGCACAGTGATGATCAAAGCACCCTCAAGGAAGCGATACAAGAAAAGAAACCCATGCAACAGGACAAAGCAATACTATGTGCTGCGTACTAAGGCAGGGCCTTCAAGGTGGTGGTTCTGCTACATTGCTGAGTGCACCAATGGATGGACTTCTCACCTGGAAGCATCCTTTGCCCCTGCATCCACCCAGCCTTGCAGCTCACTCACACAAGGCTCCTCTGTATAACAGAAACGGGAAGACTTGCAGAATCTGCTTTATTTTTCACTGGAAGGTTGAGGTCCACCAACTGGAGCCACAATGAAAGACAGACAATTAGAATAAAATAATTCTGAGCCCAGGAATTTGGTCCAAGTACCAAAACTGAACTGATTGTACATTCCTTGTACAAATTTGCAGATGACACCAAATTGGGAGGGGTGGCTAACACCCCAGAGGACAGGATCACACTTCAAAACGACCTTGACAGATTAGAGAACTGGGCCAAAACAAACAAGATGAATTTTAACAGGGAGAAATGTAAAGTATTGAACTTGGGCAAAAAAAATGAGAGGCACAAATACAAGATGGGTGACACCTGGCTTGAGAGCAGTACATGTGAAAAGGATCTAGGAGTCTTGGTTGACCACAAACTTGACATGAGCCAACAGTAGTGCCGCGGCAGCTAAAAAGCCAGTGCAATTCTGGGCTGCATCAATAGGAGCATAGCATCTAGATCAAGGGAAGTAATAGTGCCACTGTATTCTGCTCTGGTCAGACCTCACCTGGAGTACTGTGTCCAGTTCTGGGCACCACAGTTCAAGAAGGACACTGACAAACTGGAACGTGTCCAGAGGAGGGCAACCAAAATGGTCAAAGGCCTGGAAACGATGCCTTATGAGGAACGGCTAAGGGAGCTGGGCATGTTTAGCCTGGAGAAGAGGAGGTTAAGGGGTGATATGATAGCCATGTTCAAATATATAAAAGGATGTCACATAGAGGAGGGAGAAAGGTTGTTTTCTGCTGCTCCAGAGAAGCGGACACGGAGCAATGGATCCAAACTACAAGAAAGAAGATTCCACCTAAACATTAGGAAGAACTTCCTGACAGTAAGAGCTGTGCGACAGTGGAATTTGCTGCCAAGGAGTGTGGTGGAGTCTCCTTCTTTGGAGGTCTTTAAGCAGAGGCTTGACAACCATATGTCAGGAGTGCTCTGATGGTGTTTCCTGCTTGGCAGGGGGTTGGACTCGATGGCCCTTGTGGTCTCTTCCAACTCTATGATTCTATGATTCCACACACACAAAACACCTCCGGTTATTCCACCCTCTGTATCAGAAATGGGGAACTTCAAGCAGCTCTCCAGACGTTCCTCTCTGGCCCTTGCAACACCCCTTACTGGGGCCCTGACCCACATCCTCCGGTACTTTTGCCTGGGTGGAATAGATCCTTGAGCTGTGATTGTGGTGTGTATCCAACTCAGACTAGCCCTCAGATCAATAAAAATTCCTCTTCCCTGCTTTACAGCTTTTTTCCTTTCAGCAGTGTAATTGGTGTGTGTGTTGCTTTGTTGTTGCCATTGATAAACAAATGGGAGGAGTCAGAAATCTTTGCCAATGCACTGCATATCACCCAGATGTTTATCTGCCAGTACAACCTTCTGTCCATCCCTGCAGTGTATGGAAATCATTGTACCGGTTGTTGTTGTTTAGTCGTTTAGTTGTGTCCGACTCTTCGTGACCCCATGGACCAGAGCACAGGCACTCCTGTCTTCCACTGCCTCCTGCAATTTGGTCAGACTTATGTTAGTAGCTTCGAGAACACTGTCCAACCATCTCGTCCTCTGTCGTCCCCTTCTCCTTGTGCCCTCCATCTTTCCCAACATCAGGGTCTTTTATAGGGAGTCTTCTCTTCTCATGAGGTGGCCAAAGTATTGGAGCCTTAGCTTCACAATCTGTCCTTCCAGTGAGCACTCAGGGCTGATTTCCTTAAGAATGGATAGGTCTGATCTTCTTGCAGTCCATGGGACTCTCAATAGTCTCCTCCAGCACCATAATTCAAATGACACTAGAAAATGGCAAATGAAGAAAATGACATTAGTAGAGACTTAGGCTGCACACCATACATTGAAAGCACATGATCTTCCCCAAAGCATCCTGAGAACTGCAGTTTCCTGGGAACTGTAGCTTTGTTGAAGTTGAAGTTGATCCCAAAATGCCTTCAGTTCCCTCATTCCTGCTTTTTTTTAAATCCTCTCCTACCTATCCTCCCTGTTGCTTCGCAGAGGCCTGGTGGACACGCGGAATCAGATGGTGCGTGACCAGCGGCGTCAGCTCAGGCTGGAGGAGTCGCAGAAGAAGAAGGAGAAGCACAAGAATGAGCGTGTGCTGCAGACGTTCAGGAGTGCTGTGGAAGTGGCCACACCGCACAGCTCGATGGTGATCTCTCCCAGCCAGAAGTCAGTGGCGCAGGCGGAGCCTGATAGTCCTCCGCCCACCCGTTCCTCAGCCACCCCTCTGAGCTCATGGTATTACCCAGTGGCGACGGCGGCAGGAGTGTCCACCAGCAGCCAACATTCTGCTGGCCAAGCGCCCTCTTCCAGCAACCCGCTCTCCCAGAGCGAACCACATTCTGCCTCAAGGGGCATGCCAGCCTCCAACCTGGAAGTGAAATTCTACTCTGAGCCAAACCTAAGTTGCTCGGAAGCCCCCGTTCGTTCCCATTACAACATGGCCACCTCAGAACTAGAAGTGGATTCCAGTATCCAACCGAGCGACATGGCTAAGTCCTACAGAGTCATGCCTGTGGGGAACAAACATATTCCCCACAGACACCACTACCAATGGGCCCAAGAGCATAACACTGTTGCCAAGATGCAACAAAGACTCAGATTGAAAATTGCAAAGAAGAACAGATAATTAAGACCGTAGGGAGTTACTCTAGTCCCCTCAGTCATTGAGCAGGAAATCTCCAAAGGAGATTTAGCACAGGGCAAATCAGTCTGGTTTGATTTCCATACCCTACAACACAGTGCAGTGTAAAAACTTCCTTAAGTGCACATGGCTTTTTGGGGGGGGGATATTTTACTACCTCAGTAGTAAAATACTGGAATCGTAATACGACAACGCTAAACATACTAAAGAAAAGTTCCTTCTCCATGATTAAGAAAGTTAACCAGCTTCCAAAATTCTCAGGTCTCACAGCAAGATGGGATGAAATCACTGTGAACACACGTGAAGAGACAAACTTATCACTCTGGTTCACTAGAAGGCAAGGAGAATTCATTGGGATCAGACACTTTGGTGGGTTTGGCAAAAGAGCTCTGTGCTTGGAAGCAGCCTTCCACACACATGGCTGCTGAAGAAGCAGAGCTGGATGCGTATCCGCATCAGCGTTATGAAAATTATCCAGCCATGGAAGTATCTGGATGGATCTCTGAAGGAGGATTGGTTGAGGCAGCCATTGCTATGTGTCAGGTCAGGACCATTTTGTACCAGAAAATAAGACTGCCGGAGGAAGTTAAAACCCCTTGCTTTAACATCTATTTATAAATGATAAAGAAGTTTCTGTATACATCATGTATAGGACGTAGCTAAGCTTGTTAGTAATGTCCTGGTCTAGGGATGGGAGAGAATTTTGATTCAGTTTGTGTGTAAAGGCAAACCTACCTAATTTGCAGTTTCTGAAACAATACGCAAATTGAAGCCCAGCCATCCTTCGAAATTCTAACTTCAAACTTTGCAATGCAGTCCTCTAGCCAAATAATGTATGCAAAAATGCATATACTCGGGTAAAATGTGCATTAAAATGCACATGTTGGTGAAAATAATATACATAAAAATGCATTGGGCTAGGCAGAATCGCATACAAAAGTGCAGATATTAGGAGAAATCTGCACTAAAATGTTACTGAATTTTCATGAGAACTTCAAAAAAAGGTCACAAACTGATGTGAAAATGTGGATAACCGAACTTAAGACTGGAAATCTTAGAAACTGAGAGAAATAAAAACTGACAGACTTGCCCATCACTACCCAGGTGTGTCCCCAGTTTAAGGTTATGTCGTATAGTGAAATGGGGATGCCATTTAATGGAGATCTGCCTGATAGGTTGCTTGAAAAAAATGGGTCCTTTAGCTAGAGAGTGGAGACCACAGCTCAGTGATAGAGCACAGGTGTTGTGTGCAGATGGGCCCAAGTTTAACCCTGGCGTAATAAGGTTATCAGAGAGCAGGACTGGGAAAGATCTTTACTGGAGACCTTGACAATCGACTGCTAGTGAATGTAGAATGTATGGGGCTAAACATAGCTGTCAACGTTTCCCATTTTTTAAGGGAAATTCCCTTATTCCAAATAGGATTCCTCGCAAGAAAAGGGAAAAGTTGACAGCTATGGGGCTAAATGGACGGTGCCTTAACTCAGTATACGGCAGCTTCTTGAGCTTATATGGCATGTCTCAGGAAGCAATGGAAAATAATTGGGAATATTTTATGACAGTTGCCTTACTAGTGGCATCCAGAATCTAAAAGTTTGTAGCAGTAGAAAAAATGCCAGCTGCGAGCAGTCAAGAATTATCAGCAATGGGCCCAAATGGGAAGATGAGAGAAGATTCTGACAACAGGATGGAAATGATTGGATCTCTTGATTGTCAGGATTCAGTTCTTCACACTGCAATCTTGCATACAATTTCTTGGAAGTAAATCCCAAGCAAGTCCATGGAAATGTTAAAAGTTGGAGTGGATTAGTCCTTTATCATGAAATATTGATGCCACAGAACTTCATTCCTCAGTTTGTTGCGAGATCTTGCTTTAGTGAGGCTATAAAATTTCTCTGTAAAACAAGCGCAAGACATAAGCTCATGTACTGGAACAGCTATCAGAGCCGCACAACCAAATACATAAAATAACTTAAGTTGTACTTTGTGTCAGGGACCCATCTGTGCTATTCCACTGAAAAGGAGAGACTTCCTGTAGCAAAGCAGTGAAACCAATAATTCTGCAGCTGTCATGTTGAAACGAGCTTTGTTTTCCCATGAAGTTTTTCCCTCAAAATAAAGAGAATTTGTAAAACTGATAAAGTTGCCACATCAGCTTCATTCACCAAACATGAAGTAGCAGCAATACAGAGTGCACTGCCAAATGATTCCCATTTTGCTCTGCCCTTGCTGTCTACCAGCTCCATTTGGTTCACAGGCTGAGACCCTACCTGCTTGCAGTCTGTCTCGCCAGAGTGGTGCATGCTCTGGTTATCTCCCGCTTGGACTACTGCAATGCGCTCTACGTGGGGCTACCTTTGAAGGTGACCCGGAAACTACAACTAATCCAGAATGCAGCAGCTAGACCGGTGACTGGGAGTGGCCGCTGGGACCATATAACACCGGTCCTAAAGAATCTTCACTGGTTCCCAGTATGTTTCTGAGCGCAATTCAAAGTGTTGGTACTGACTTTTAAAGCCCTAAACGGCCTCAGCCCTGTATACCTGAAGAAGTATCTCCACCCCCATCATTCAGCCTGGACACTGAGGTCTACTTCTGAGGGTCTTCTGGCAGTTCCCTCACTACGAAAAGTGAAGTTACCGGGCCTTCTTTTTCGGTAGCGCCCTCCCAGTGGAATGCCATACCATCAGATGTCAAGGAGATGAAGAACCACACAATTTTTAGAAGACATCTGAAGGCAGCCCTGTATCAGGAAGTTTTTAATGTTTGACTATGTTTTTATATTCTGCTGGAAGCCACCCAGAGTGGCTGGGGAAACCCAGCCAAATGGGCAGGGTATAAATTATAATAATTATAATAATTAATAATAATTATTATTATAATAATAGAGGCAGGAACAACAAACTGTGAGCCTTGACTTGCCGTGATGGGCAAACTAGCACTTGTCGTTTATTTCTTCCAAACAGCAATGAGGAAAGCTTGCAACAATTGGAGCTGTTTAGTTTAGAGAGAAAGGAGGGTGTGGGTAGAAAGTTTCCCTCCCTCTCATAATACTTCAACGTGGAGTATCCAGTGAAGCTGAAGAGTGGGAGATTGGGGCAGATAAAACAAGCACGTCTTCACACAGAGCATGAAATGACCACCTCAAGGCTCAGTGATGCCCCTGACCTAACTTAGATGGCTTTCGAAGGAGACGAGATGTACTCAAGGAGGGTGGGGCTATCAATGGCTACTGGTCATGGTGGCTGTGTGCCAGAATCGGAGGCAGCAGGCCTCTGAAAATCAGTAACTAGGAATGACAGTGGGAGAAAGCTAATGCCCTCATGTCCCACTGATGTGGGCTTCGAAGTGGACTGTATGAGAAGTAGAGGAAGCTCCCTAAACGCAACAGATGTGGTAGACAGTGCTTTCTTTTTCTGGGGGGACGCAGGGGTATGTATACCCCTAAACATTTTGTGAATCTTTCTGCTTTTGTCCATTTACTGTATTTATTTTTCGCAATTGGAACTATAAAATGGTTTTTCTTGAGTTGAAATGAGAGTACCCCTAAACATTTTTTAAGAAAAAAACAAAACACTGGTGGTAGAAATGAACAGACTAGGACTCATCCATACATCCCTGCAGTTTATTCTGTTTGTGCCATGATTTCCAGGCACAGGTCCAAGAGGTTTTTCTTTTGTCCCACCACGTTCCCAAGGAAAACCCATGGTTTACTGCTGAATTGGAACAAACATCATTCCACAGTTAACCTGGTTGATGTTTGTTCCTGGGTACAGCGACAGGGCAAAAGAAAAACCTCTCAAACCAACAGATATGTGCTATAGATGAGCAACCTTGACTTTGCTTATGCAACCACTTGGCCACTAGGTGTCAGCGAAGTTCCAAAATTAAAGGAAGTCTAGTCTCTCCATGTCACCTTACCTTTCTAAGGAGAAACTCACCCATGATGTTACCAACAATTGCCTGCTGAGTGAATCCATGGAAACAAGCTTCCAGCTGTTTTTATTTGTAGGCCTTAGCACATTATTCCACCATCCTTAAATTTCCTCACTGGTTGTTGTCATTATAACTTTATTTATGTGTCATATTATACCCAAAGGCCTAAACACAACTTACATAGTAAAGAAATAAATATTAAAAATATACAACAATAAATAAAATTGAACACACTCAAAAATTCCTGCAAGTACACATTTCCCACCATAAATTTATCACCAGGGATTCCTTTAAAACACCAAGCAACTCAAAACCATCCATGGAATGAGTGAAAGATAGATAACAATATTGAAATACTTGGGTGCATTAAAATGTCTTAGCCTGGCCCCACAAAATATGTTCAACTTAGCTCCAGATTCACCCGTGGGGTAAATTTGCCCAGTTGCTGTCTACAAAACACTTTAGTTCTTCTGGTCCTTAGGAGGACAACTTGAGTCAATAATTACATGTCGCTTGTAGATATCCGAAAATATGTTTTAACCCTTTCCAAGCCACTTCGGTAGGATTACTTACAAGCCTACTCAATATTCCAACAGAATAACTGATATCTGGCCTACATTGAGAAATATACATCAGACTTCCAACAGTAGAATGATACAATTCAGAATCTATTTGCTTTGAACGTTCCCCCTCAGGAAAGCATCAGGAATGCACAGTTATAAAGGCATCTGGAGGAGCCCAGAGCCAAGAACAACCCTGCGTCCTTTCCCTTCTTCCATATATCTGGCTGCTCACAAACAGGCCAACACCTTCCTGTTTTTATAACAGCAGCCACAGGTTTCACTTAGCCTTCCTTTACATCATCGTTGCCCCTCATCCCACCCACCCAGAAGCCAGAGAGCTTTCCTGGCTTGTTCTATCAAGGGCCGTATCTTCCATCCAACTGTGCTGTGAAAATCCATAGAGAAGGACAATGCAGTTTGCTACTTAAGTCCAGAAGGTAGGCAAATTCCAAAACGAGATTGGAAATTTACATGGAAAGAACAAGA